TCTTGTTGGAGATTTGGAATGGCGTATGAAGTTCTTGGCCAAATTTTCTTCAATATACTCCTTGAGTTCAACCAACTCATTTTGAGATAAATTATAAATTGGTCCAAATGGCGGTTAAGCTCCTTTTTGAAGGTCAATTGAACAGTCATATGAATGATGTTCTGGAAGAGTAACCACATTTTTCTTTTCAAATACATCTTGAAAATCTTGATATTGGCTTGGAATGCCACTTGAAGTCTTTCTACCAGTAGAAACAGGTGTGGCATAAATGACATAAGGTGATCATTTTTTTGCAGCATACAAGAAAGATCTTACACCTACAAATATAGGTTTAATTATACTAGACTTATAACTTTCTACTTGATTGATTATCATGGACATACTCATGTAATCTAGTTGTTACATATATAAATAAGTAGAAGTAAGTAAAAGTAGATAAAAGTAAGTTAATTTTATAGTATTTAATATGGAAGCTTTTTAGAAGCTTTATAGATGCTGCTTTGACTTCATAGGTGTCTTTAATTGACTTTTTGGATTAGAAACGTGGTCAACAAGTTGGCCATGTGCCACACATGTTGTTAGCTTGAAGACCAAGCTAACTATGTGGCCCACACGTAGAAAAACTTGCCTTATAAGTCAAGGCAAGTGTCCTACAAAGTCAACACATATTAAAGGTCCTATAAAACGTCACCACGTAGCCCCTAGTTAGATAGTATATATAGAGACAAGAGTGAAGACTTCTTCACTCTTGTCAACTCTTTTCTTATTTCCAGTCTAGTTTCAAGAGTCGTCATATTTTCTAGTCTTTGGCAATAGCCATTCTAGTTCAATATATTATCACCTTTGAGTGATTTCCAAGTATTTTCGAGTAACACAAGAATGTATTGAGATTATCTTTCTTTGGAGTTCATATCCTTGATATTAACTACACTTTTAGTTATACGTTTTGAAAAGTCAAGACAACGAGAAGTCCAATCTATTTTAGGGTTATATTTTTTTAGCCATGATAAATCTAAAATGACTGGATTAGAAAGAGATTTAATGATATTAAATATTACAAAGCTACTATGACCATTAGTTGTTATTTCTATAGGAAGGATTTCATGAGTAACATCTCTTGAAGACAACGGATGACCATCTATGACTTCTACATGAACAGGTTTAGTTTTCTTCATTAAAAATATGCTATGTCTTTTAGCAAATTCTTCATCTAAAAAATATGCTGAGGCTCCTAAATCTAGCAAGGCAGAGGCCTTTGTGATATTTAGGTCCTAGAATAAAATTTATCTTAAAATATGGAGAGGGTTCTAAAGAGAGGATAGGACCTTCACTAGGCGTTGTACAAGGCTCCAGCTGCACAGTTCTTATTGTAGCTGGACAAATTTGTTTTCTAACATGTTATCTTCTTTGATCGCCGTATTCCTCATTTTATAGTTGCGTTGCTTCTTTAGGCAATGTTGAGTAGTGTGCTTAGATTCTTCGTAATATAAGCACAATCCTTCCTAACAACGACGAGTCTTTTCTTGCTCAGTAAGAGGTTTAAAACGTATGGCATCAATTTGTATATCTTCTACTTCTCAATGTATGTATTGAAGAGATGTTGGTATTGCCATTAAATTATAGTAACATTGAGGTCTACTTATACAGTTCTCACATCAAAATTTAAAAAGGCAATTGTCGCACTTCACACCAAAGTCAATTGCTTGACTCAATGTTGAGGATCAGGTAAGTTGAGCATTAATTTTTTTACCTCATATTGTAATCCGTAGAAGAATTGGCTAATAAGTGCAGCATCATCTCACTTGATAGTTGTCAAAATTTAGAAGTTTCTGAAGCATACAACATTATTGATCGATTGTCTTGTTGCAAAATACAGATCTTATTGGTTGCAACACAAATTGCATCATGTTCTCCATACATGGATCAAAACTCCACCAAAAAAACCTTTAAATTATCCAATATTGGATCTCGTCGTACAAAAAAAGATGAAAACTATGATAATGTTGAACCTAAAAGAAGCATACTAATGAATGTAACTTACGATCTTGGAGTTGGATAGCTTTAGAGTTGAAGTTCAATTACAAATTGTACTTGATTGATAAATCTTCTAAAATTTGATTTGGTGCCATCAAACTTCTCGAGTAGGATAATTCTTGGTTCTCTAACACTGGAAGGACGTTCCACCATAGAAGAAGGAACATGATTTGGTGCAAATATTGAAGCAGCTCTAATTATTTCTATATCTTCACTTCCTGCCAATCTTATTACTCTTTATAGTGATAAATTGAATTGATGCATCGCAAGCATTAAGTCCTTCAATTGCTCTTATATTTGTGCTATTGCACTCTTCATTTCAGCAAGTTCTGCCATGATAATACCTAAAAAAGAGAAGATGTCTAATATCACTCAAGATAAATAGAAGAGAGGACTTGAGAACAAAGAAAATATTAAGGACAATATCTGTTTAGAAGAGGGTAATCCGTAACTTCTAATATACTTATGTCTTATCAAGAGAAAGGCATAATCCACTCTTAATCAAGATTAGACAAAGCTCTGATATTATAAGTGTACTCTTGTTAATCTGTCAAGGACAAGAATTTGATAAAGACAAATAAACAAGTGAGACTTCTCTCAAAGAAAGATGACAAAATAGAAATAACTCAATATGTATATTAAGAAAGAAACTGGAATGGCTATTGCCAAAAGACAAGAAAACTAGAGACCCTTGAAACTAGACTAAAAGCAAGAAAGAAGTTGACAAGAATGAAGAAGGCTTCACTCTTGTCTCTATATATACTATCTAACTAGGGGCTACATGGCGATGTTCTATAGGACCTCCAATATGTGTTGACTTTGTAGGACACATGCCTTGACTTACAAGGCAAGTTTTTTTACGTGTGGGCTACATAGTTAGCTTGGTCTTCAAGCTAATAACATGTGTGGCACATGGCCAACTTGTTGACTATGTTTCTAATCCAAAAAGTCAATTAAAGATACCTATAAAGTCAAAGCAGTGTCTATGAAGCTTCTAAGAAGCTACCATAGCAAATATTATAGAATTAACTTACTTTTACCTATTTTTACTTACTTCTACCTATTTATATATGTAATTATTGGCTTATATGCATATGTTTGTGACATTATATATATTATTAAAATATATGTAATTTTTCTAAAATTATTAATTATTTATTAATTTTAAGAATTAAAAGTAATATAAATAATAAAATATAGATAATTTTTTGATTTATAACTTAAATATAAATTTTTAAAAAATAATTATCTATTAGAAAAGATGCATTCTTAACAAATAAAAATAAAAGTTTTTTATTTAAATATTATATTTATAAAGATTCTTGATTTTTAAAATAGTATTTTTAGATATTAAATTATTTACATCTATAAAATATCAAAAATTATAACATGCAAATGATATTATAAAATTAATTTGAAAAATGAATTTTCTAATTTTATAAAGATAAAAAATAAAAAATATAAATAATATTATTTTTATTATTAATTTTAGGAATTAAAAATATTTATTATTTTTATAATATTTCTAATTTTATTTTATTAAGTCATATTAGAAAATCTTCATAATATCATAAGATTACAACCTTGATCTATTATTCTTGTGATGTTGTATCAACTATAATAGATGTAACAACTTTGGCAATTACGTAGATCCTATCAATATAAAGATATATATAAGTATATATTTTATGTTAAGTAACTTTGGTATAGATCTTATAAAAAGATGCTTTAGTCTTAGTTACTCTACTATATGTTAGTAGCATTGAATTCTATAATTGAAGAACTGTTTTGTAAGAAAAATTTGAAAGCCTTAACATAAGTTAAGTTTTAAAATAAATTTATCAACAACAAAAATTTATAATTTATAATTGGTTACATGGATTTGACTATTTATTGTGAAAAGATCAAAAAAGTATATATATTTTATGAATTTTTTATAAGATATTTTATTTTAACAAGTTGTAAAGTAATAGATTATTGATACTTTTCTTAAAAAAAATTATGAGAAGAAATGCTGTATTATAGACATATAACAAATTGTAATCTTAATCAACTTCTAACATATAAGAGAATGTTCTTATAATATTCTATATATTTTTATACTTCTTTATAGATTCTTTAATGTAAAAAATAATTCTAGAATTTGTTTTTTACATTCCAATTTTTTTTCCTAATTCTTTGAATATTTATCAATGAATTTAAAAGTCTTGTACATCTATCTATCCATAATGATATAGAAATTATTATCTCTTTAAAAAGAGTATATTTAAAAAATTATAAATAATATATATATATATATATATATATATATATAAATATATATATTACATGTTATAAATTAAGGAAATTTGTAGGTAGACATCATTTTTTTTATTATGAGGACACCCCTCTTTTATATTATAGATACTCCTCCATGCCACACCATTAATACACAACTACTAGACACTAATAATGGTGAAAGGTATAAAAACATCAATATATTGATAAGAAAAAATCTCTTTTATTTTCTTATTTTTGTGGATAATTTTTAAAACTTGTCTATTTTTATTTTTATTTTTTAAAAAGAAAGAAGATAATTTGTAAATTACACAATATAAATATTTAAGTAACATATGCATATATATATATATATATATAAGATTAAATGAAAAATTATATTTAATCAAATAACATAGACATAGTTATTTAATTTAGGATACTATAAGTTAGACAGTTTCTTGTTATTTTGAGAACATCTCTAATGCCACACCAATAATATACCACTACTAAAAGTTTTTCAAAAGTGTAGATAGTAATGAGGCTAAAAGGTATAAAAGAGCAACAAAAAAACAACTTCCAATTCTTAAATATTGGTGACACAAAGTTAATCAAAGCAAACAATTAAAAAATTTAAATAATGTATAAGCTTTAAAAATTAATAATTTATTAAAAACATATATATTATTTAATTTTTTTTTAATTGCACACTAGTATCCTTGAATGTATTCACTATCGAATTTATAATGTTTTATAAAGATAACCTCCATCTACCATGATCTTGTTTGTACAATAATTGTGACAGTAAGAAGGCAAAGTTACTGGAATGAGAAAATACATCTTCTCTGTATGGCCCTGAGCAAACTTCACACTAAACAAGAAAACAACATAATGTGAGCGGAAATCAAAGGTTGTCTGCGGAACAATACTAATCTCCTTGGCCTGCATCTCGAACTGGTGAAAAAGAACAATTTCGCTGTGAGTTTGGAGAGTCAGATGTTGGGAACGAAAGGTCGAGCAGCCGTATAATCGCTTGGAAAATGTAGCATATCGCGATTTAATGCAACCTTTCGAACAATCGCCTCCACAATGTAAATATCAACACATGCAGACCCGCAGCCCATGTCCGCAGGGTGGCCCTCAACCCTTGCTCGGCAAACACAGCTTTTTCTAGATTCACACCATACCAAAAACAGCTCGAGAAAAGATCTCCATTCTTACAAGTGGCTATCGTAAGTCCATTTTTTTGCCACTTACTAGGAATGCGCACTTCAACACTACATGAGTTGAAAAGAAAGACACTTACGTGAGCACCGCGAGCAATTCAGGACAAGACACTACCAGCAATATATTACAATCTAGCATAACATGTGCACAAAATCCTAAATCACAACATTCACCGAAGTAGTGCCCTATCCTATTCCGAGGCGAAAAAGTTCCAACAGTAGAGAATGTGTAAGCCGCAGGCAAGTCTGAAGCCGATCGGACTAATACCTCTGCAAGTGAGGTTTCATAAATGTCAGGAGCAGAATTTCCAAACGATTGCACAACGTGTACAGAATGCAGCGAATTGTAAGATCGCAATTTGAGCACAGTGCCTGCCAATGATCCTGGATGTCCTCAACAAGAACTGGGAAGAATGTTACGGAAGAATATATGAGAATTGATTAGATCTGCAGACCTAACAATTCGTACTCGTGCTGCTGCCACTATCCTTGCAATCACAGGCAGTTGAGTGCTTTCAAATAAAAAAAACTGGGTAAGCACGGGTCGGTCCCCAGCAGGCCGGGTCGATGTGACATGCCATCCTCGACCATGGACCCGGTTGCCAATATAATGAACTTGTAGAATGATTGGCTTTTTATTTTCTTAAATTTGGGGATCTCAAATTAGGACGTCGACCACCTTGGAATGTCGATTGGCACCCGCATTTCTCTATAAGAGATGGAAGGCGATTGGTCACCTTCTCCGCTTCTCTTGGCTTTGCAGCAGCCTGACGGACGAGCTGGTTCTGCTTCCCCAACGTCAGTTGGATTCAATAAATTTTTGTGGAACCTTTCTGTGCTTCGTAAATTTCGGTGCAGAAGACCTTCGATGTCTGCGCAAACGCAGCAGGAATTGGCCGTGGATGTAGAGAAGGTCGTAACACGAGTCACCGTGTCCATAAGCAAAATTGATTTGTCCGTGATTCCGCATTGCTTGGTGTGTCAATCTGAGACTGCAAATATTTCCTGTCGATTGAATTTTTTGAATTCTGTTTCGCGGAAGATGATGGAATTAACGGCTTAGCTCACTCGAGCAATTTGGATGCTGTGCTTTTTTATGAAGTTTACAGTTTATAGGGGAAGTTAACATGAAATATGCCGTGAAATATGCCGTAATATGCCGTGAAATATCATGGAGATTTTGTGGACGTCAATGAGGCTGAGATGAGATAGCGATGCCAGTGCCGACACACTGGGAAAGCTGAACCTCGAGTTCGTGACGTCTTTTCCATTAGCAGAATATAGTCAATCAAGAGCCTAAAAATATACTCTCCTGGAGATTATGTAGATGGAAGTGTACCGTACACAGAAATTTGTAGAGGTTCTTAGCTATCCTTGCGCAATGATGACATATTTTTGAATGGCGTAATCCGCTCGTTCCATTTCTTCCAAGTTGTGTTGAATTCACAGAATACATTCCTGAAGCGTTTGGTGTGTGTCATGATCAAGTTTGCGGCATTCTGCTTTAACTGCAATTGATGACTCAGAAGCAGTAGGTTAGTCACATGCACAAGTTGCCACCCCTTGGTGACGTTCAGATGCTGCTGAGAGGTATTGGAAGGTTGATGCGCTCTGGTGCGAAGTTGGCATTCTACAATGTGTTAAAAGACTTTGGATGTTACTGTAGGCCTTGGAGATTCGTTCCCTTCTCAGTCACGGCATTGAGCATCGCATTGGAGGTTTGCTAGCTTACGAAACTTGATGTTATTCACTTACGGTTGGTCAAGCAGCGCTGTGAATTTTAACGTTCACAGCAGAGGTCAGAACTATCTTTGGTTTGGTCAAATTATGAAAGTAATTCAAAACAACAAGAGGCTTACAGACGTTCAAGCCGTTTAATCGGTTAGCCGGGTCCCCGTGAACTATCTGCGCAAAAGCACAGTGCTGTCTACGTCGATATTCTTAATGATAGAGATTTCTCTGCAGATCCAAAAGACCCTTTGATAGACTGCATGCAATTACTTTTCCATTACGAAGCCGACGGACAAGTCAGCAATCTGAGGTTTCATTCTCAATCCTATATGCGTACATCCTTGTTCAGCACGTTCAGCTTGGGGTATACAATAACAAGGGCACTGAGCTGGGACAGCCATTATATTTGTATACGGTTGTAACCGCTACAGCATTTTCAGTCTTGAGGTCACGTGCGGACCGTATGCCTCTTGGTCACTCTCTAAACATTATAATAAACTTTCCTGTTGTTTAGATCTCACAAATATTTACGTCACTTCGACCCTCAAGATTTGTGGAAGCCATTATGTGGAATAACTCCAATGTATTATAATCATGCACATCAATTGTACTCATATTTCAACATTGTAAAGTACATTTTCTGTTGTGCACAGAACAAATTCACTGATACTTTCGAAAGCAGATCAAGCGACGTGCCGGTACTTCACAATGCCTGGAGGCTGTGTTCGTGGAGAGAAATGTCTTTTTACGCACTCTGAGGAGACATTGTCACACGCGGAGTTCATGTCACTTGCTGGAATGGGGCAATCTTTTGCCCCCAAGCAGGTTGGAGGCTCCAAGGTTTGCACCTATTCGATTTCACCACAGAGAAACTTCGTCCCCCGTACAGTTTCTGATCATGCAAAGAATCAACAAGCTGAAAGTGAGGACAATAATTGACAATCAACGCCGTAATAAGGGAATTTGTCCTGCTGGCTGAATTTGTCTGCAGTCTCTCTGAACCTGACAGCATTCCTTTAAGCTTACTACCAATGGAACTATGTGACACAATTATCGTTGACATTGTTAAACGCAGCGGGTCGGCGCGGAGGATTTGCGCAAGAAAATATTTGTAGGAGGACTGTCGCCCTCAGTAGAATCTGGTAAGACTTAATCAACTGACACAATTCCAAGCTAGAGCAATTTAAAATTGCGCTTAGTGTCCGAAACCTGAATCCATTGACGTTAATGCAACATTATTTGATTTATTTTTTCTTGTCTTTCACAATTAGCCAATTCAGATAATTATGTTTGTAGGTAATTACCTCACTCTGCGTTTTAGGGTCTGCTCGTATGATCGATATGAATAGTGACGTTACCAATGTCTGCTTCTTAATCTTGAGGCACCTTATAGTCAGGTACAGGTCTTCAATTGATCATCCATACACACACGTTGTCCTTTTAGACCAACTGGACTAGTGTCGTGCACAATTTCTGCAATATTTCTTCTGCTCCAGTTATATCTAACCAAGGAGATAGTCTTTTGGCTTCGCTGATTGAAGACCAATACTGTGCAGAAGAAATATATAGCGAGGCCTTAGTGTTGCCGAAAGGGCTTATTAGTGCAGAATTAGAGTCTGCGACGGACTCTTCGAGCTATCTCAATGTGCATTTCAAGCTAACTGTGCAGATGACTTGCGGGAGTTTTTTGAAGTAAACTACGGTCCTGTCTTGGACGCAGTCGTCATTGGGAGTCAGGCAGGTGATCACATGCAGTCTCGTGGATTTGGATTTGTCACTTTCAAGCACGCAGCGTCCGTCTCAGCTGCTGTGGAGGCTCACTACATTAACATCTATGGAAAGAAGGTGAGAAATTGGGGCGGTATTCTTTTGAAGAAATTTCGAATATGGAGTCCGGATGAGAGGTAGAGGTTGCTTTGCAAAATGTTACAAACAATGCACCGTATTTCTGCTTAGACTAATTCTCAAATTACTTATATTCTCAATTTCCTTTTCTTTTTCTTTTTGGTGTTATTGTCATGGCTTGCAGGTGGAAATCAAGGGCGCAGTTCCTCGTTCAGAACTACCAGCACTTGAAGGGCCAAGAGCTTCAGACTCTGACAATCCCGAGGATTCGCATACGACAATGTCTGCGAACAGAATGTTGGACTTAGATGAAGCAGAGGTGCTCGAAGTAGCGACTCCTGGATCGACGCTTTGTCAACCAAAGAATGAACTCCCCCAAGGCAGTGGGATGAGTTCGACGTCTGAAGCTAAGCAATCCTCTCCCCCCGAAAGCATTGCTATGTCTAGTTCGAATGGGCTTTCTTCAGCAAGGACGTCCCAAGTCTCTAGTGATTCGTATTCCCAATCTGGTGTTCGAGGGATATCACCGGAAAGTGCTTCTTCATATGAACTTCCGTCAGCAAAAGTATCCAATGCCTTCCGAGACTCATATTCTCAACCAGTCATTCGAGGGGCGTCACCCAACAATTTGCAAGGAAGGAAATGCATCTGGTTGAACACTTTCAAGGAGTGGCTCCCGGGATTTCTAGGCAGAGTCTCTATGCGCTTGAAGGAAGGGGAGTGGTATCCACTCTCTTCTTTGAAAGGGGATTTCAGAGCAATATGTGGTATGGAGCTCGATCATGTTTCCCTTGGTTTCGAAAAGCTCAGCGACTTTGTTCGATCCTTCTCTGACCTTTGCAGGATGAAGATCGTTCCTGTAGGCAGGGGACCTGCCACTCATATGGTTCTCCTTCCACCTCTTACACGAACAGCTGCATCAACAGCCAACAGGCGGGTTGTTTCAAACATTGCAACTCGTTCTTTCGTGGACGGATCACGATCTTATGCTGATGTTGCTTGTCATGGGACAGTTGCTAGACTTGGTAGGGCAGCTGGTCCATCTTCCAATCCTGCCTTTCGCCCAAGTGGTGCTAGTCTTGGCCATCAGGGAACGCAATTAGCACCTCCTCCACCTTCAAGAGAAGTGACTTGTTCGGCTGATCATCAGCTAGCTTACACAGACGGTCTTCGTCGGGGAACGACTTCACAGGAAAGTGGATGCTGCTCTTACACGGCTGTAGCAGGTGACAGTAGCGCAGGATTAATCTCAGCTTCTAACAGGTCACCAAGAATTTCAGGAGTCCCTGCTGAAGGATATGGCCAGAGTGATTCAACCAACGATGCCACTAAAATCTTAAATTCTAGTTCCACGGATAGCTGTCGAGCCAGTCATGTTCCATCGCTCCCTTCAAGTGATGTTGGAACTTCGACTGCTGGTGACATGAATACTTCTGAAGTGAACTCTGGACTCTCAAAAGAGGATTTGGTCCTCTTACAAGAACTGATATCGCGGTTGAAAAGAACTGGAATAGAAAAGTTTCAAGCTCGTAATCATGCAGCACCAGTATTTTCTCCTGTGACAATGCGCGATATTACTCTTTCACCGTCCAAAAGCAAAGCTGCTCCAAGGCAAGTGTCTCAGGAGCCAATGAGCAATGTTGAAACTGAGAGTCAAAGTTCCACATGCTTCACATTTTTTGATCATGAACCAAAGACACCAAAGCACGGAAACTATCCTCCTGCTGCTGCTCTTAATCATCCTTTCGGCGGGTTTCTTCATGAACGTTTTCCCTCTTCAAGCATGTGGGGACAAGATGTAACCAGCAATAGAATTAAGGATGGAGGTTATGTCTTTCAGGGCCGCCCAGCTGAGACCATCAACGTCCCCGCAAGTCAGTTTTACGAGGTAGTATCTAAGCACCTAATACTTTGAATTGGTATGTACTAGCTTATATATTCAGTTTTACAGTTGATAGATAGTGGATGTTAACTGTCTCGAAGTCCGTGGAAATATGAAGATAATCGTCCGAATCCTGCTATCGAAAAATGTATTATTTTCCCCACACTCTCTAGTCATTCTCTTTAGAGCTATATTTTGCGAATTTCAGTTCAAGATCCTCAGATGTGCCTGCCCCATTTATCTCATATTGAAAAATTTAGAGATTCGTTCTTTAGTATTTATTACTGTTATATTATTTTGACAATCACGAGGTCCTGAAATCACAGTAAGTATGTACATTATTGCTGCGTTTCATAGCCTGTTAGTGCAGGTAGGCATTTCGTGTGTTTAATTTCAAATTTCTGTCGTTGCTAACTCTACTTCAACACTCTGTAATCCGTATTCGGCACTCTGTCAGGACTCTCCTCACAGCAACGAATCAACTTACGGTACGCCTACTGGATACATCTCAGCTTCATCCAGCCCAGGACAAGACTTTTCGAAGATAGGTGGAATGTGTGAAATGTGCTTTGAGAGGCAAGCATTGTGGGTTGCAGTACCATGCGGCCACCAAAATATGTGCTCCGTCTGCAAAAGCAGCATGCGTCACGGTAACCAGGACAACGTCCAATGCTTCATCTGCAATGGATATGTGGAGAGATGGATTGCCCTGCATTGATACAAAGATACATGATCCTTCTAACACTTTTCCCCATTGAACTCATCGAGGAGAAGGACTGTCTTCGAAGATTCTTCTCTGACAACTATTGGGATAGACACTAAAACATTATGATGCAATTTCTGTTCGATATTTTTCAGAGTGGCCAATTTTGAGGTCTTTGATGTGCCGGTTTCTACTGAATTCCACCTACGTTGGCTGTTGCTGCAACGACCTTTCTTTCAGACATAATTCAGCAGTAGCTCTTTCTTAGTGTTGAATTCTTGTTCAATGTTTCAAACGCGTATTTAGGTAGCTGAATTTACAGGGCTTACAAATACTAGTGTACCCACTTTTGATATGAAGTTCGATTCCCAGCATGTTGAAACTTCCTGACAGACAGAAATATTTTGAAACTCATGTTATGTTTTATGGTTTGTCGTCCTTAAAATTGGTACGCTCACTTAGTTCTGTTGTTCAAATCGTGAAGTTCTGGTTCAAATACTCCCTAGATTCAGAGATGATGCGTTTTGCTTTACAAATTACAAGAATTTTGTTTCTTCTGGAACTGGATTTTAATGTGTGATAAGTTGGCGTGCTCAAGCTATGTGATAAGTATCTTCAAATTCTACAGAAGTGTTAAGGACGAATTGACAGTGAAATGTGGCCACCGTTGATTACTTCGCATTTTGAAACCTTGTTTTACTTTCTGCGGACTATGAATAATGCATATTTCTGCGTTCAACGCCAATGGAAGTTTGCTATGTCAGTAGCATACTAAATAATGCATCAATGTCATGTGATGAATTCACACACATATGCTTTTTTGAGTCTTGTTGTGTAATCGCGTGAATTCAGGAAAGAAAAAACAGAATTCATTAGCTTGTTTGTGTACTGTTCAAGTTTTTGCCAAGTGGTTGTTTCCAAGACAGGAAATGGCAATTTGTGATTCAATCTCACCCTACATCTGAGCGATAACTTCGCAGAACCCTGTCAAAGATGTGCCTGAAACTTGGATGCCTATAAAACCGAAAGAGGTTCGTATTACCTTTTTGCCGCATGGCAGAGCTGCCGGGTAGTTATCTGACTAACTCGAGGAGGGTTGGTTATAGACGAGTCTGTTGAATTGGGACTCTCTATCAGACATAGCTAACCTTCCCTCTCTCCAGACTTACAACCCCTCAGCTCACGTGGTTTTGTGTGGCTCGCCGGAAGCTTAGGAACGCTGCTGTTTTGAACCCAGGTGATATCTACTTCTTTGCTGACGAGGTCTTCTGCCTGATTTGCAGAGCATCATCACTAGGCAGGCACGATTCAAACTTCAGAGGAGAAATAGTATGGTCGATTGTGGGAAACATTGATCTCTGAGTGACACCCAGTTTAGGTCACCGAGGACTATGGCTATACAAGAGATTGATGGATTGCCTGCAGTTATATACTTTATGTGTGAGGTCGTCCAGTGCTGGACATAAATAAGCGTAATCAAGCATTTTTCAGGTGCTCTTTTGCCATAAATACACTGACCTCTACATGCTACGTGATAAGCTTCATGACTTCTGTGTAATTGTGGGATTAGCTGATCGTGTCCATGAATGGTGCTCAACTGTTGGAGTTCTGCGTTTAACGTGGTCGTGGCTGACACCATCATAGTAGGCCTTTCAGTACGATATTCCAAATGCGTAGTGAATTGGTTTCGGTTTCGGTTAATGTTTTGGTGGTATTGAAATCCAATAACTCAAATGGTTTGAGCTGTGGTGTTCATCAACTACTTTGGATCGATCTTATTATTCTTTGTTAGTCTTCTTGATTTAGGTTATTACAGTAAACGAACTTCTTTTGCAGTTCAAACTGTCTCGGGATGCCTAGTTCAATCATTCATTTGCTTTAACGTCCTTTCACTCTTAGGATCTGATCAGGGTGGGAGGGAGACTTATCTGAAATTCTCATTGCCTGTTCAATTTATCAATTATAGCTTACTAAAACCAAAATAGGTTTTTGCGTCCAATCAGACTTTTAAATGTCGATTTGAATATGTACTATAATGAGTACCTCTGCCATGATTTTGTCGCTGTTATCTGAGCACTCCAGAGTTTGTAGACTGTGGGAAGGCCATGGAGAATCAAAGTTTAAACTGGAGTTCAGTCGGACTGGAGGTTCCCAAGGTTGAAAAGCAACTGCAGAGGATGAATTTCGATATTCCTGTGCGCCACATCCAACATTTAGATCCTCTAAGCAGCCCTGGTGTGTTTCAATGTCTAAGACTTGCTCACGATGCTAACTTACCCAGTGTTTCTTTCACATCTTGATCACGACCACCCGAGGCACCATTCCCGAATTCCTGTGTTCATGAGGTTTCTGACTGCAGAATCAGTGAGAATGGAGGAATGCCAACTCAAAGCTGTGGACGACGAGGAGCAGCCCCTCCTCCGGTTGAGGCAATCGAAAGCGAGTGCCATACAAAACCCCAAGGTCCGCATCACAGTAATAGATGTTAAAATCCAGCCAAAAATTACAATACTTGCTGATATATCAGCAGGTACAGAGATGATGCAATGTGAATGTTAATTGGTAATAAATTTCCACTCGCTTGGTGGAAGCCTTACAATGATCCCTAGACCTCTTTGATTATTCAACCGTGTGATTAGTTGCGGATCTTGAGGATACCCAAGACAAAGTGTGACAAGAAAGTAACAAAAATGAAACAGAACAATTTAGCTGGTCATATGACACTTGTCCCATCTCACCAAGGTGGATCCAAACAGGTGGTAGAAGGATGCGCGCGTATTCAACGTGTGCCAAGGCTAGCCCTACCACAAAAAAGTCCAGAAAACACCCCACTAACCATTTCACAAACTATACCACAGAAGAAGAGGTCTCGCTCTCTAACAGGTATTATTTCACTAGATGTTATCCTCGGCCTGGAAATGCCTCGAGTATCATCGTGGGTCTTATTCTGAAATCTCCACAATTTCTTGCAAAAAGCATGGATTTTATGTATATTCTTCAATTTCCGAGACAGATACTGGTATTGCTGCATGTCTAGATATGTTAAATGAGTACCATCAACCTTTTCTTTTCTCTCTGGGCTCTTTGATACTGTCCCTAAAAATCAGTTGATGACAATCAATTAATGTGCAGGATTGGTAGCAAGCAATGACTTCTTCATTCCCTTCCCCCTCACTCCCTCAAGCGTCTACCTGCAGCAATCATGTCCAGGAAGGTGAAGCTCTGACCAAAATGTCATCAGTTTCTCCTCCCTTTGTCAAAGCCTTAATCAGATACATCAGCCCTAAATCATAAGAAAAATGGGAAGTTAAGTAGCGTTTGAGAAGTCAGTATGGTGATGGGAATGTCTCTTGTAGAGCGAGAGTTTAATTTTATGTTGAGTAATTTGGGTATTGGTGGTGGATAGAGAAACGACTAAGCACCAGACTCCTAGGATGTCACAAACTCCTAGGAACATGTATCAGACTGCGGGAACTCCTAGGACTCCCAGGAAGGAAGTACTAGCCGACAGCTTACGAGGACAATTCACACCTCGCACTGCTAGGGTTTGTATCCATAAACTATGCTGCTAATATATGTAGACGATGTAAGGAAATGAGGTTGATATTTGCACGATAAATTCATCATTACAATCAACTGAGTGTGAATGGAAAGTTGCAACGTTGTCTTTACCGAGAGACGTGTAGCAACTCTGCTGTTAGCGAATTTGTCTATTTGCGCTTGTACTATAAACTGAGCATGTGTCTATTACTGGAGCTTAGCAAGAATATCAATGTAGAAGTGGTAAATTTATCATTTATTGCAGGCGATATGAACCTTGATGATTTATTAAAAACTATAATATCCTGGTGCCAGTTGTGGAAGGTTTATCTGTGCACTGGAATGTAGGGAACTTGGGCGGGTGGATTTTTGGAGAGAGCTATCAGAGTGAAGGAAAGATATACCGGCAATCGGTTGCAGAGGCCGCTGGCTTATCATCAAAATGCTCCAAATACCGCAAATGGTAGAGCTGCTTCTGTAAGTGTATCCTCTTCTCTTTCCATTATATTTGCTGCGCTATTTAATACAAGGATAATTTCAATGAATGCTTTTGAGAATAATTTCGAACACTGAATTGCCTGATCCTGTAGGACTTGGAAAAGAAACTAGAAGAACAGGGCATTACTCCTGTATTTTGCCCAGAGCCAAGATTTGAGGTTAAGCGGTTTGGTAATTTGGCATGTTTGATTTCGGATCTTCGCTTGTTTCTGACACGTCCTGTCCCACAAGGTTATGGACCAATTGAATGCCACATACGCCGTCATATTCACGCCAAATGGTTGACTCCAAGGTTTCCTTCCTCGTTCTTCTGTTTTGTCACAGATTTGTAATTTCTTTTTCAACAGTTGAGAAATGTAATTTTATCATCATTTCGTAATATCCGTGATCACATCAATGCTATCATGCCCCATTGGATCTGCAGGAGTTGTCGAAAACGGTGGTGTGAATGATCTGAATGTTTTTAATTCTCTAATGAATGACAACAGCATCCGGACGATACACTAACTCCACCTGGTGTGGATGTTTAAAGCAGCTACAGGTTGTATCTCTCTGATGGAGATCGGTTTTTGCTATCTTCAAAGAAAAGAAAGAAGGCCAAGACAAACTACACTATCTCTCTGGATGAAAATGACATTTCGAAACAATCTGGAAACTATTTTGGCAAGGTGGGCTAATCTTGATTAACTTTAACCATGACCTGAGAGATACTGAGTGTCGGCTTGTATTATCTCCGATAGAATTATTAGTTAGGGTCAGATGTGATCAACAACTACATCATTGATAATTGTGTGGAGAAATAGCACAATAACGAGGACACATGAACCTCCAATACCATCAACCTTACCTCTAATGTTTCCTCTACAGCTTCGCTCCAATTTCGTTGGCTCTGAGTACTGGTTTTATGACAAAGGGAGTCCTCCAGTTCAAGTCACAGGTGTTTGTGGGTACCTTCACACTTTATTCTCAACCCTTTGCACATCGAGTCTATATAGATATCACTTCACATTGATATGAATTCATAAGTAACTAAATGCTTCATCATATTTTACATCAAGTGTGTTTGGTCCTAAGCTTCACGGCCTCATTTGCCACAGCGTCAAAAAACTTAGAGACATTCTGGAATTGATTGGCAGGACTATGCGGCTTCCGACCACAAAGAACAGAGTGGAGATGGGTGCCGTCAAATATAACGTAAATGTCCTTGGGATAGGAGGACCGCGCAAGATGACTGCGATCATACCGTCACTGCAGGAGGATGGCAAACCTTATGTGTTTCATGCAGCTGCTGATGGTGGACCAGTTCTAATGGACGATCACAAAAGTGGTCATCACCGAGACAAGATGATTGTTATGCACAACAAACAACCACATTTTAATAAACAGGTTACTTTGAATGCGCAGTTTTTTCTCTATTCGGCTGACGCAATTGGTTTGAGTCCAAGTTTGCAATACCAGTCTTCCGTGCACTCTACGGACTACCTCACAGCCCCTAGTACTCTGCTGGGACAACTAGTGCAAAAGCTGGGAACGTAAAGATTCGTGAATTTTCCACTTGTTTTGCGTGTACAATAACTTGTGTTTTTCATTTTTCGACAGCTTGCAGCATATTGCCTCAATTTCAATGGCCGAGTAACAAAACCATCTGTCAAAAACTTTCAGGTGTGTTCACATCAGATTTAACCATTCATTAATAATGGTCAGCAGTGCAATTGGACCAACTATAGCTATCTTTTCTGTGCAAATAGTGGACCTATTCCTTGCCGAATGTTGCATATGAGATAAGAACATTCGTAACTACCCTAAACCTGAAGAACCACCAGTTCAGTCAACGCATGAAAATAACTGAAATGTTGAGTTATGTTCCTCAACATGAATCTTCTTTTAACATATCAAGGGTTCTCTTTCATGTATAATTATGGTATTTTTCTTTTTTAAGTGTAACATTCTTCTGATTTCCCCTTTAATAACTTTTCCTGCTATTCTTTGTACGTGCAGTTAGTTCCAGACTTGGACAAAGAGACTGTAATCCTTCAATTCGGAAAGGTGCGAAATGCTCCTTTCTTACGACTACTCCTTGGGTTCATCATTACTTAAATAGATTCAACATCGAGTCAATGCACACATCTTTCACAAAGATTGTTTTAAATCCCGGATAAATTCCTACCGACCAACCGAAAGGATTACGATAATGAACTTACACCAAATAGGTACTTTCTAATTTGTTGCTGTCGTCGTCAATTGTTTGAGTTCAGAGTGGAAGAAATCTCTTCACAATGGACTATCAACATCCCATGTCGGCCTTACAAGTATGTATCCGAGAATACTCATCACTATTTATAAATTAGAATAGCATTGCATTTGCCTCATACCACGGCAACCTACTCAGCAAGCTCCAAGTCCCTTTTAGCACATAGACTGACGCTCTTTAATACAGGCATTTTCGATTTGTCTCTCAAGCTTGGACCCGAAACTAGCGTGCGAATAACCAGACGCGCAGCAGCCATACTTTGTTCATGTAAGCAAAGATTGCACCTTTGTGAAGCACGTCAAGTTCTGGATAATTTTCTTCAATCTTGGGGTAGGTTGTCCTCACATTCTGATTACTAAGTGTCATAAAATGAAATGTACGCTGTGTTTTAACTAAGAGTAATAATCTGGAGTACTTCAATCCTTGTCGCATTCAGGTAAATACATCTAACACCAAGAAAACACCTTTCATCGTCAGAACAACAAAAACCTTGGGAATAACCGAACCCATCTGATGTGAAGAAGAGTGTACTTGGTGTTGTAGGATGAAGAGTACATTATAGTGTGGACCCTGAGGTTTCTGCACGAACTCCTACCGTTGTCAGACTCTTGCCGTCCTTGTCATCGTGTGGAGCAATCCCTTATCGAAGGATGCTCAAATTCAGCCTGCCGAACCTGAGGTTTAATATTGTGCTGTGAAGTGACTATCAAGGGTTAAGATAGATTGTTATATTCTGGCTGTCGTTTCGCTTGTGTGTGTTGCTGGAGGCAAGTGAGTACACATAGTTTACTTTCAAGTAGGATATGAGTACTTCAATAATAGAACACTCATTCCAGCTTCCTGTAAAAAGGGCAGGTCTAATGTCTAATTTGTCATAATAAATTAGCACCTGAACACCAAAGAAAAGCTGTTGCGGGATGTGAGTCCTGAAAGTTGAAGTTAACTTCGTTCAGAGAGCAACCATAAACTTCTTTGCCCACTAAGCACTGATGATTACAGATCTTCAGATCCTAACGTGACGTCTGACAGTAGCAATTAAAGAAGTGGAACTGGAGTGTTGAGAAAACCTAACTGCTTGCAACACTATTTAGACTTTGACGGACACTGGAAACACTCGTCAAAAAATCCGAAGGTGTTAATCTGTCTCACAAAGTTGGTGATGCTCGCCCAACCTCCCAACCCAATCCCAACAATAACAATCCACAAGATGATAATTGCATTCACAAAAAACACAAATGACCAGCTGGGTAGGAATAGAGGCAGCTGAACGGCTGAATTCTGCACATCCAATGACGTAAAATAAGCATTTTTGTCCCAGAAAACGATCAACTTCCCCTTTAATTCTCGCAAAAATAATTTAGCGGAAAAAATGAGGATAACACAATCACACAAGCACTGCTACATCTTCACCTAACCACTGATATGGTAAGAAAGGTAATATACCTATACAGTTCTAATTGCGATTGTTATCTGCTATGAATTACGCTATTTTACTTGTGCATTTCTGGGATTCCATTCACCTTAATATTTGTACCATTGATTTAGACCTGTCAATTAAACTCTGAAGTTTGATGATCTTACCTGGCGAGCTGATTTAGTACTGTAAGTGATGATAAACGCAGCTAACGGGATAATGTACACTGATGATGTTACCAAGAGTGCCCCCATAACTGAATTGATCGGGCCAAAGAAGGGAACAGCTAAGGCTAGAAACCACATTATAGCCACAATAGGTAGCCGAACTAAAACTCTTCGTAAGATCGACTTCGTGTGCACTCCCACTGCCTTCTCGCAGACGAGGAAGACAGGATGGGTAAAGACGACGAATCCCATTGCCTGCATAATTTGTGGAAGTGACCATCAATCAAAACGGGACATCATAGAAGCACCCCACAAGTACCACAACCAGTGTAAGTCTATTAATTCTACAGACCATATTCAACACAGAGCATGCTTTGTTTGACTCCTATGTAAGAACTGCAATATATGTGTCCATTTTATTGCTTTCATAAAGTAGCATTGCTTTAGCAATAGTGTGCGATTTCGACCACTTCATGTCTGGTCTGTTAACACAACACTAGGATGTTGACAAGATGATCATTACAGATACAATCCAAGACTGATGCATACATTGAAGTGAATGAGGACATTCTGAGGATACAAAAGAGCAGGTAGAATCTCACTTGGTGCACAACCATAGATAAAATGGCAACTGTCCGCCAACGACTTGGAGGAAGAACAGAAAAAGCGTTGGAACGTTTCAACAGGATATCACCATACGCCCAGTACACTGCAACAGTACTTGGTAATGTGATACACAGCGTGTAAAAGCACACTGCTAAGTACACAAATTTGAATCTCGATGGTCTCTTCATCGACTCCAAAATCTCTCTATCAAATTATCATAGCAGATTTTAAACCGATTAGAATCCACTTCAAATGATTTATTAATTTTAGTGATACTTCACATTGAATGGCTTGATAGCAGTATGATATCGAGTTTAAAATTGAGAGAGTGAAAGGACCAACTCTTCCCTACAGAGCTACTACATAGTTTACAGGTTAGGATTGCCTACATAGTGATGCCATGCCCTCCAAAAGCAAATAGGATATTAGTTGCACCCGTCAGAAACTCCACCTTGTCTGAAACTCCACCTGTATGTCTGATCCCAGCTACCTACATCATGAGAGAGATGGTGATGCTCTTTTCCCCCAAACAATTAATCACTTTTTCAAACATCTAGCACACTCAGTCATCTGATAATATATTCCAGCCAAATTAATTTGACAACAATTTAGTGAGCTATTAACTCAGATAAATGAAATGTATCTCATATATTTGCTTTGCTCAATATGACACGGAGAAAGGAGATACAACTGCAGATCAAGCTGAGGGAACAGACCTGCCCAACGGAGAGGGCAGCAATGAACATGTAGAGAGATGTGATGGTAGTTGTTAAGATGCCAATCGCAACGCCTGAGCGGAAATGAGCATAGTCAGGAACAAAGACAGCTAGAAAGGCCACTGCTCCCACGATATATTGCCACTCTCGCTTGTTCAGATTTGAATTTGCATAATAAAGGTCGCTGCAATTGTAACATACGACAGATATGAACGTTACGAGAAATAGTATAACCCTAGTACCCGAAAGTACTCGTGAACATGTGAGTCAATGCTGAAAAAGTTGCAAACAATGAGAAAGAGAGCAAACTATACCTACCCATTTTGCCGATAACTTCGGCAAGGAGACTCTTCCTTTGATTAATATTATTTAGTGTTTGAATTGAAGAGAGACCAGGCACCTGGAAGACGCAATAAGTTGAATGACAGATGCAATGGCTAATGATAAAATGACAAAGAAATAGGTGGTTTTGCCACCCCATCTCCCAATTAGACCTCCGATCACTTCATGATACTGCATAGCCACACATCAGAAACCTGATCAAATGACGCCCTCGTAACTTTGATAATCAGTGCTGTCTGGAATTTAACTTGATCAAGTTGCAAAAACTAATAAACTTGACATGGGCGAGGCATTTACACCATGCAAAACAGCAAAATTCTTTATGCACCCTGCATTCGACTATGTATTATATTATGTGAGGATTTGCATTTACCTGAAGAATATGTCCTTCAGCACGAACTTTGCCTTGCAATTCTGTTCGAGCTTTGAACTCCAAGTAAAGCCACACAAGTAAATATACGGACCAAGCGCCCAAAGCTCCGTAAAGAATCAAAGCGGACGCACCGTAAGCATAACCCATTTGCGACATGGAATATGGCAAGGTTAGCAGCACTTGACCAATCTGAATGGCATGATTTTAGGAATTAGATATAGAGATCTCCAAAATCACAAGCTGGCTCCAGCTTTTATATTAGTCCTCCTATTTGATTCTTTTCTGTATTGTACTTTTCTGGCGGTCAGGACGGGGGAAATTTTCGTTAAGACTGTCGTCAAATGCAGTGAGGCTGAACGAGGGATACCAAAGCATGGTTACTACTGTCATTTTATTCCATAAACTAGAGTGGGTCTGAGGTCGGGGATTTGAAGCAAAACACTCGGCTTAAGTATTTTCAAAGATCATAGTCACGATTCTCTGAATTTCCTGATTGAAATTACATTTGATGATGCAGTGACAGACAATATAGGACCAAGATGAGCATGAACACGAAAAACATTCTGGACATCTCGATACCTGGGCAGCTGAGGCCACAAGCCATGAATTGAATACAGAATTCCCCTGCCACAGCGATGAAGGCATCAAGCGCATTATTTCCCAACTTCCTCCACGCGCAGTTGGTGACTCTTTTTCGATGTGACCATGTCCTGCATCTGCAACTCCCGACTCCATGGACTCACCTACAGCAGAAGGATTATTAAAGTCTCCTCCTGTTGCCATTACTAGGATCCTTGCATCCGTGGTAATTCCAGAGATATCTGATGCAAAGATCTCCCTAACGAGCCCGACCTTCAAATTTTCTAAGAGCCTCAATAGGCAAAGAAAAAGAGTTTCTTTGGCCACTCCACTATGCATCTAAGCTTCATCCAGGCACATGAATCATTGGTCTCTCTTATTGCTCACTTCTAAACACGTAGCTATCCCCTTCCAAACTCAACAAAAACATATCAAAATAAAAATAAAAAGTTCTTGGTCTGAAAACTTCCCAGCGTCAGCTCATGCTGCATTTAACCCAAATTCAGATGCAGCTATTTCCACCATCACCAAAAACTCCCAGAAACTCCAACGAAACAAACAAAACCAACACAAACTCGATCGCTACGCAACGACTCCTTGTTCACTCCTGCTCCAGCGCCACCATTTTCCCCTACTCAATAAAGGTCAATAAAACTTTCCGCCCAACTCACTCTGACCCGAAAACACTTTCCAGCACGAATCACAATGTGCGACAGCTGCACCTAATCGCAACTCAATCTCGATCTCGCCTGGATCATGGCCAGCTGCAAGCAGTTGAGGGCAGCACAGAACCTGCACCCATGGAGGTGGGGTTTCTTACACTTCCTCACACAAGATCCTGAGGCTCCACCATCACGACGAGTCCCTCAGAAAGCTTCCGTACTTTCATGGTGATATGGAATACAACAACACCAGCTGCTCCGCCATGTCCCAGGAAGCTACAAAACAAACCCATGGCAATGACATGCCATGTTGGGTTCATTATATTGGGGAATTTTGCCAAGCTGCCAGAATGAAGATGTTCTTGAGCCAAGGCCAGGATGACGCTGACCTCGACTTCAGGGACTGGAAAGTGTGACACCCACAGAAGCGCTTCTCAACACTAATCTCCTGTTTCAATGAGAAAAACGTCATTGCTTCAGTGTGTGATGCAACACGTTTATGTGTGTTGCAATTTTGTCTTCTGTACATGATTTTAGCTCACCCACCCTTAGTTCTACAAAACTTGTTGTGATGGTGAGTGAGTGCGTGTGTATGTAAGTGTGTGTGTGTGTATTTATGTAAATGTTTCTTTTTTAAGCTATCAGAGTATCGATTATTTGGAAAATGGAATTTTAGTTTCAATCATATGTTTGAATGAATAAGATAGATAATTGAATAAGTTACAATAGGGATGTGCATTGGAAACTTTTTCATTGTTTATACCATTCTCTAATTTGCCTACATAAAAGTTTGTTTTCTATGTCAATGTAAGTTAATAGTGGCACAAAGGATGATATTTTCAGCATGATTTTTACTCAACAGTGCATTAGTTTAGTATCATCACCACAGAATCATGATATTTGCTTTTTCTTTTCCTTCTCCTTTTTTAATAATGTATGCAAATAGTACGTATCTATGTGTATGTGTGTGTGCAGAAATCAACATATTATTACACCATATCACACACAATTTTTATTTATCTTTTTGAGAACAAGATAAATAAAAAAATTTAAAAACTGAAACTCTCTTATCTCAAAATACTTTTTAAAAACTTAAGAATTAAAAATTAAAAATTAAAGAACACTGCTTAAGAAGAAAGATTGACAAGCATTATGATGGCTATTGATTTCCTCTCGTTTTTACTGACTACAACACACAAATTTATATTTAAAAAAAAAAACAGAAGTCACATAATTTAAGGGAAAAAAAATCAAAATTGTATGAAAATTCCAAATTGTAATTACTATTAACCATGATCCTTATGAACTTAACAGATCAATTCCAAAAATGTTCAATAATAGTAGTTATTCTTTGTAGATAAACCTGAATCTAATACAATCAAAACACAACTCATGGCATTCATATTACAGTAAGTTTCCAAACATTAACATCATGGGCTCAACACAGAAACACATAAAATTGAGGACTAGAATGTCACTTTGTGAATGGCACAAACCCAAAATACTGCAATCCAAGATCATTGAATAGAATGAGGCATACAGTGTGAACCCCTAAGGATTGTCAATGACAAAGTCAAATTAATCCAAACAAGGACCATTGATTGATGTACCCATGTAAGGGCAACCTCTAACAATGATGGGCTTGATTGTTGGCATTTGCTTACCACACCCAAAACAAAGAAAAGGAAAGAAAACCAAGTTCAAAATGATTGAATTAAGCACACACACACAAAGCTAATGACAGAAGGAATACATGAAGTTTTGTACATTGTACCTTGGACAAGGTTTGATTATGAGACAATGAGCTTTGATTTCCTACAATTCTATTGAGATGGATGGGTTTGTTGAAAATCATTCGGTGTGTGTTGATTTGATTTGATTCAACATCACCTAACACTGCATCTGCTGCCAACAAGTTCTTGTTTGCTGTCGCGGCTTCTGACTCATAATCCAGGACTACAACTTCGAATTAAAAACGCATACTGAGATGGGACTGCATTTTCCCTCATTATGATCCCCTGGCCTTTGACAAGCTCTGCTAACAACGAGGTACTCTATGCTGAGAAGCCACTGAAAGGAAACTGACAGGCTGGACATCTAGAATGCTGGAGGAGGGGGGAAAAACAAAACAAAACAAAACAAAAAAACAGACGAAAGGGAGTTAGAAACTGAATAGGACGATGGCAGATTCCAGGACTGCTGCTGATGAAGCGTATCAGCTCTTCCACATGACTAACACAGCAATTGTAGCGCCAGCAATGTAGGATTATAATTAATGGGTACAAAAAGAATATGAAGTTTTTACTGAATAAAGTAAAATGAATAGAAATAAAATAAAATGAAAAAGAGAGGGAGAGGGAGTACAATTTGGGCGACTACCAATATTGCATGAGTGGAAATCAATCTTGAGTGGGAAGAGAAAGGCCAAATTGTTGATTTCCGTCTTTGACCTACACCCATTAAACTGTGTATAGTTAGTGTTTTTTCGGTGTTTTTTCAATGTGAGATGATGTGATGTTAACCCAATATGTGGCGATTCACCAATGAATCGTTGAGTGCAGAGGGGAAGCTTTAAGCAATGGGTAGAGAGTCACGAAATAATTGGCGTCACATGCTGTCACTCTTCCCCTCACACTTTCAAAAAGATGCGATAGACAAATGTTCTAAAGCAGGCAGCAGATACAAACAAAAAATGGGGAGATTTTGTTTCCCAGCTATTGCATGAAGACTTGCTTGTCGTCAGCGCAGGAAGCACGAGCTAAGACCACACAATTGGCTTTACACTGTTCAGAGATTCCCACTACAGACGTAGTAGCACATGTGACGCAGGGACAACAACAAAAAAGCTGATTTGTGAATCAAAACAAGGGCCTACCAAGTTCCGTTCTCTGCAGCATCTTAGACTCTTGTAGCTTTCAAGAATTTCGCATTTTAGGACTGTCCAGACCATTGTACAACGCAAAATGGATTTTATAATGAAGAGAATCATTGTTGCTGCGTAGTTCATTTGCAAATTAGAAACAAAGAGGACAGTTGCTTCTCTCAGTTCAATATCTTACAGTTCATTTCAGTAAATGATTGGCTTGTCAGTAAGAGTACTTACACCTAGTCTTCTTCCCGTGGGACAGTACGGCGGTATATATATCCTAATTTCATCACCTCAAACAGTATCATGCCACTGGTGAACTACTAGGTGGAGATATCTTCTGGCTTTGCTTGGAAGAAATAGTTCTGCAGTACTCTTAACTCCTTACCGTAAAGGTAAGTCTGTTCTTTTCAGCGACATACAGATATAAACACAAGTCGTCGTTCCAGCAACCTGTTTGAGGGGCTGGTAGATAATACCCGGGTCAATTAGCCAAAAACACAACCTTGACAATATTGACGTTCAAAAACAGAAATATCGAAGTTCGAAACCATCCAGATTAAGCCCATGCAAAAGAGTGAAACATGAAAGTGATCTTAAATGATGAGGTGAGAGCCCACTGTAAATGAATTCTCTACATGCTGTAATGCGGAGAACAAGATCATTGACATGCTCCATACTTTCATGGCATGCACAGGGATAATCACACCTATTAAACAAATATAGCGGCTATGTTGGGGTAACAATCAACCATTCAATGTACGTCCTAAAATGGACTTAAAAGACCTAAAATAAGACTTAAAATGATAAGAATGACTAATCTAATAAGGAATGAGCTGCACATGGACAGGCGGATCTATTAACACTCAAGGAGTCATGTGTCGTTCAACGTACTCACTCCAAACAATGTCGTGCTCCTATCTGCAAGAATTGATGAGACGTCTCCTCCACTTTGGAAAGCGTGGACTTCACTATTCACTCAAACCATGAACGTATTTTCTCTAATTTTTTTATACATTTTACGAAACACGGCGTATGTTATGGAATCTTGCATGTGTCGAAATACGAACCAGATTCGGAATCCAGCTTATCACCGCCGTAAAGTGGAACGAATGTTTTCTTTCTCCCGTTTCGCAGCTGGACTAGCGGTCACAGATTCCTTCTTTCTGGAACTCCCGGATTGACTGCTAGTGGACCCGGCAACTGTGTTCTTGCTCCGCATCAGATCCATACTTGAGAATGCCCCATTCTTAGACCTGATAGATTCAAAACCCGCAAGGACGCTGCTCCTTGTTGACTCGACGTCAGGCTTAGAAGTTCTAGAGTCAGTCGCCCCAAACGCACTGACTCTCGATTCGGAAGCCCCAAGCGTATGCTGCCTTGAATCTGTTTCTCCAGTCCCATTCTGCGTGAGCTTCATTGGACTCGCGCTTGGAGTAGTAATTCTTCGCTGATAACTGGGAAGCATGCGTAAAGGGCTTTTCTCACTGATCAATGGCTCATATGACGAAGCAGCACGGAGAGGGCTTTTCTCACTGATCAATGGTTCACACGATGAAGCAGCACGAAGTGGACTCTTTGCACTAAACGGCGTTTCATGGGTCGGAGCTGAACGTAAAGGAGTGCTAGGAGTCATCGCTGGTTCAAAACTTGGCGTTGAACGTAAAGGGCTCCTTGAAATAAATGGTGATTCATGAGTCGGAGCTGAACGTACAGGGGTGCTAGGGGTTATTGCTGGATCAAAGCTCGGGGCTGAACGTAAAGGGCTCCTCGCTGTATAGGATGATGCTTCGAAGGCTGGGGTCGTGCGAAGAGGGCTGCTGGCAGTGATCACAGACTCGTGTGGCGGAGGCCTACGGGAGGGGCTGGAGGTGCTCAGGGCGTCAATCCCTGGGGGAAGAGGTAGAGGTACTGGTCTTGGGCGATCTGAAAATGTAGTAGTACCGTTAGAGTTATTCTTCTTCGGTGTAGTTGCATTCATCAATGATGCCCGGGCCGATATGAGGGACGTAATAGAAGATGGAAGTGGAGATGGCGGGTCTGCTTGAGCCGGGAGGTTCGGTTCCTGGGTTACAAGATTGAACGTGGGGCGTTGCTTACGCTTAGGCTTGCCTTGGCTGCTGAGCATCTGCACATGAAGAATGTTATGTGTCAAGATTGGATCCACAGAATACCCTTGGAATTAAAGTTTAATAACTGAATAATGTAAGCACAGGACAATACACCTTCAGAGAATAGAAGCTGTAATTTGTTCTTTTAAAAATTCAACTGCACGTTTCAACTTCAACTTCAACTACAACTTCATGCATCATTGGAAGAAATTAAAGCTGGTCTTCAGGAGCCCCGAACACGTAACAAAAAACGATTTCCACGTAAATTACCCACCTTAATGTTTCCAAGATCAGACAAAGGTCGACGACGAGCTCTTTCGCCATCACTTTCCTCCCCAGAACCTAGATGACCTCCACCCTGAGCACGCCCTACGATGGGGCTGGTTGCCTCCTGAAATGCAGAATCAAGCAAGGCAGCGGCTTGAGCAGCCATTGCAGCTCTTTCAGCAGCCATAGCGCGTTCAGCACGCCTAGCACCTGCTTCCACCTCATCCAGAATACCGACGAGCGACAGACGCCTATCGCTTCCTTCCCCTACTGGGGACTGTTCCAACTGAGCAATTTCAAATGAGAATGGAATAGACCCTTGGAACTCATTCGAAGAACTCGGCGAGGAACATAACCTTTCAGGAGTAATAGGTTCCTCGTCGATAACATAACTCCCAAAATGGACGGATGCGGATTTGGAGGCTTGGATTGGGGTATGCTCGCCACTATCAAAATTAGGTTGATTCCTTTTTGAGATAGAAAGTCCCTCGATAGGCGCTCCATTTTTCTCTTTTCCCCGAGGATGAAGACCAGCACCATTGCTGATCATCTTTCTGGACATATAACCTTTGTGAGTGGAACGACCAGATCCTGATGAGGAGTTGTTCCTGCGAATAGCATACTTGTCTTGCCAATCTGAATCCGAATCCTCCATGGACAGATCGTTGTCAGATAAGTGCACATCCGAATCCCACTCAGTATCCGAGACATTACGTCGTGCATCTCGGGATCCCTAAAAGAAAAGTAATAGGACATAAAGAGGATAGTTAGCTTCTGGACATTCTGATGGGGCCCAATGACCCCAATAAAATTAGTGCTCTCACAGAGACTTGCTATTCTAGACTCTAACACATTAGTTCCCTCGATTTCACGCAATTCTAAGAAACCCGAATCTTAATTCCACCCAGAGCCAAAAGATATTCAGGTCGAGGGTGCACCTTTCGAAGGGCATATGAAGATTTTTCGCTTCCTGAGCTAGAGTCTTTAGAAGGATCTGAAGACTGTCTCCATTTAGTCAAGACAGATACCTTCTCCACATCTCGCCTCTTCACAGCCCCGAAACCACTCTGAAAAAGTCGCCTACGGTTTTATGATCGCATACGAAAGAAAAGACACTCCCGACCCACTAAACAACAAAACTCATTTACTAGATGAGTGTCAAAACCAATGTAAAATAAAGTCAAAAGAGGAACCCAAGTTCAAACTGTGCTAAAAGTTCATACATGAACCTTCGTAGCTGCAGCAAGTGCAGCTGTAAATTGCTGTTCCTTCAACCGATGTTGCTGTTCAAGGTCCTGTCGATCAATCTCACTCTGTCGCAATATTTCCTCCAATTCAGCAATCTTCTCTTTGGTATCCTTTTCCTCTTCTTCTTTGTCCCGAATTTGACACCTGCGTTTCACCAGAGCAAGAATCCCCGACTTCAATACGTAGTAGAACAAGAACAACCATGCGGTTTTGGCACAATCCACTGGTTCAATACAAAAATCACAGGGAAGTACTATGTATGAAACTAATAACTGCTGCATTGGACTGCACATGGATAGTTCTAGTGCGCTGGCGGAAACGCGTTTGAGGACCCTGTTGTATACATTCATAATTTCAAATCGTGACCACAAACCTAGCGAGAGATGCTGCATTAAAAACTAGATGAAGAAGATTCTTTGCATCGCCCATAGAACGCAGGTGAGCCCAACGAGCTCGCCCGCTGAAATTCCGCTCCCGCTCCTCAGCTTCCGAAAGTTGGGAAGCCATAGCCACCAGAGAGCTGGAGGATGAAGTGAGCATACTCTCCAGCAAGGTAATTCTACAACTACGAGTGGAACCTACACACTCCTTGTCAGCAGACCTGCATGAACCAACGAAGAATCAATAGCGGACAAGCAACCAGCAGATGATGAATGTCGATGAGTCCTCTCAGTTCACAAACCATTTGAATGTGAAGAGTATGTGGGTCCTTGAATCGAGAGAAGCTAACCTAGAAGTAGGATTCTCATCAGGGTCGCTAGATGATTTATCTTCCTCCTGTCTCAGCTCGGCCAGTTCCTTAGCATAAGCTGCCCGCCTGCAGTTCAGCACAAACTAAATTGCATTAGCTTGGATGAAAGCACTGGCCGACAATGAAGGTTAGGGCCCAGGACCATTCCAAATCCTAAGCCCTGCAACCGATTCAAGTCTTCAAATATGGGCACACTAAGAAAATCAATACTTACTCTGCCATTTGTTTCTCATAAGCTGTGCGAACCTCGTGTACACGGACTGCAACCTCAAGCTCCTGTTCCAACCAATTCTGCAGTGCTTTCTCGCTCTGAAAATGCACGAAGTGAAGCAAATGTTACAACTCTTGTATCAAAAACACACTCAATGATACTGAATAAATTCAGGAAAGTCAAGAGTTAGACGTCCTAATATGACTACACAGTTGGCACCTGAGCGCCAGATCCGTTGACGTTTGCAGCTCCTGCATTAGAAAACCACGTAGATAGTGATCAGTATTTGATGTGACAAGCCTATTCAAATGAAACTTAACATTCCCCTAAAGATTCATTTCTGCCCTAAACTTCCAAAAGAATACAGATGCGCAATGGAATGTTCATTGTGTAAATAGAGTAATGTCGGGCACCGTTTCAGCTTTACAAGAGTGACAGGAAAGTTCAAGCTTCAGACATACCATTGGTGCAATTTTCTTTGGAGGACTTTCTTGCTTCAAGGAGATCTTTGAGTCGTTTAGTAGCTGCTGCAGCCTCTTCAGTCTTTCTCTGTAAAACCTGCGTCACCGGATATACAAATTTTCAGTTTCCAAGACTAGACATGAATATGACAATCACCCATTTTACTGTACTCAGTGGCTGGAAGACAAAAGATAATTTTGAATCCACCTTCCTTCCGAATTATGTAAGCTCAGAAGCATATGAGCTTTCATGATGTGACCCTACTAATACAGAAAGCACTTAAATAACATTCATTTACACAAAACTATTGAACGATAAGCCACAGGAACACCGACTAAGGGAAAACAAAGCCAACATTCAAAGCAAGAAATAAGGCTTCACCTTGGTTTGCCGTTGATGTAGAGCCTGAAGCTTCTGCATCTCGAACACGTTTCGACGCCCTTCTTTACGAAGCTGTTCTCAAAACGTAACAATCAAAAAAAACTAAGCAGAACTTGAAGTAAAATGTTAACACGATGTCAACTTTGGAATCCGGAAGACGCGACGTGGTAAAGCGAAATTGTGTCTCAAATAGACGTCACTAACCTGGAGAACCTCCTTCTCTCTTTGTGCTTTCCAGACGCGAAACTGCTCCGATTCTTGTTTTTGTTTCTGCTGAAGTTGTACCTGTAACCATAAAAATAGAAACTTGGGTAAGCAGGAAGGGGGTACAAAAAGAGAATGTTCCAGACTAATCGAAGTGGGAGAAAAAGACAACAATATGCAACTTGTGTAAAGTAATCAATCAACGGAAAAATTGCACAAATTAAATATCTCAAAATTTTGAGGCATTCATAAGAACCGCAGGGACACGACATTTCAAAAGACCCTCAATGCTCGCTACGTTACGGGGTCTAAATCCAAACTTCCAGCTCAAGTACTTAAGAATGCAACACTGCACCTTATGAGCTTTGATACGTTGTATCTCCTCTTGCAGGCGCTTGGCGCTTTCTTCGATGCGCTGTTTAGCCCGGAGTAGATGAGACTGATTCTCCTGCTTCTTTTTCAAGTCCGCGATCTGCACTCACGACGTAATTATGTGAATCAAAGAGCATTCCACTCCATAATAAACATGGAATCAAAATCTTAAGTATCAGCTTTTGCAAGCTCAGTTTGCAGAGGGGTAAGAAATACTCTGGCACCTGGCTCTCAAGTGTCTTCAATTTGTTACCGTAAGATTCTTGCAACTTATGAGTGTGTTCATCAGATGTTGTTGCTAGAGACTCGAGTTCCGTCATCAATGTGTCACGTTCTCTCTACATTTACAATTCGCCATTTTCAGAAGCAGGTATTTGTAGAAATAAAAACATCTTTAGGTACAAGGCGAAGATTCGGGATTCCTGTGTTCAGGAATTGAACATATATTGATGTAAGAAGGAAATGTAATGTAGGTGAAATCAGATAAAGAAAAAGAAATCATAGTGTCCAACCTGCAGCATCTTCTTTTCCTCTTCCAGTTCTACCAGCTTGCGCTCGAAGTGCTGCTTCAGAACCACTGTCTCAGGTTTTGAAAACGATTTCATCTCCGCCTGCACTCCACAATGTTACGTAAAATCAGTGTACATGCAATGTAGTAAACTAACACTTTAAAAGCATACCAAAAAGTCATTAAATTTAGAAGATTGCCGACAGTTTAACAGGAATTTATTGAATGGTCTTACCTCTTTCTGCTCAAGTTTTTTGTCGAGTTCCTTAAGTTCTTTATCGAGATTCTCTTGGAGCACAGTGTGCTCCCATTCTTTTGCTTGAACTTCTGCCTCGGCAACCTCAGGAACATTGGCTGCAAAGCATAATTCATTGTAAAACATTTATAGGGCTTTATTGAGTCAGGTTCATCAATTATCAATATTATACTCTATCCAGGTTTGACAAATGCTTAGGATGCTCAAACAGCCAGACACAATGAAACTAATGAGTAGGAGCTGCGCTGCAGGTTTTATATCGAACTAGTTTTCTTGAAGACAGCAGATTTACAAAGGATATGAAATCTTAAGAGAGCGAGGCAAAGAAATGTCTGAAAGATAGATTTTTCAAAACTACGCAATAATATTCTTTACCTGAAGGGAGAACACCGTCAGCGAACTCCGTCGCCGAACAAATATCGCTAAGATTTGCAGCCGAGGGGGACTTGAAACCTTTTGGGTAGCATCGATACTGATGTAATTCAGTCTCCAGTTCTTGAATCTTAGAAACATAGTCTTTGAGCATGTCCTCAGTCTGCGTCAGAGTGATTAAGATAAGTCTCTTTGAAAATCAGCAGTTTCAAGAAAAGCGAGAGAAAGGGATTCACGCACTACTGTTTCAAGCCGAATACAACCTCTCCAAAATGTACAAGAGCATTAAACAAGGATCTATGCAAATACTACCGCAATCCACAAGTCCGAGAACAATATTACTGGATACGCGATTCCAAGTTCAGAAATCAATAACTAAGGAATAGGAACCAACCGCGGTACTGTCTTCCTCATCCAGCTCCTGAAAAGTCTTACCAGACCGCAATTGATCAAGTTTGAGCTGAAGTTTATCCCTAGAAACCTGCACAGGATTGACAACAGCGGATAAGTACATCAGAAGACATTCTGATGTAAATAGAATCGAAGTTTTCACAGGCAGTGTTTCCACATTTTGAAGAATAACTTCAGCATAATCGGTTGTTAATATCTGCTTGAGTTACACTCCGGCCTCGCAATAGAGGATTACCTGCGACTCTACGGCTTGTTGGGACAGTTGTGCCAAACGTGCACGATTCTCTTCAAGTTCCTTACGGTAATCGAGATTGCTTGTCTCCAGCCAGGCAATTTTCTGCTTTAGGATCTGTCAACAACAAGTGACCTGTTAAGTTTACAATCAAAATACGTAAAATGAAGATGTATGCAGTGGCGAGTCAGTACGATAGTCTGAAGCAGTCAAAGCATTAACCTAGGCTCGACTACTGAAGGCGACGGTTTCTAAAGTACTCTGCACTAACTCCCGTAAATTCAGACACGATCGACATTATGCTATAAAATAAATTTAAAGACAATATTAGAATCAAACCATTTAAATATAATCAAAAAACGCCAACAGTGCCGAGTGCAATTCACGCATCGCTAACTTAGGAGCAAGTTTCAAGTAGCCATGTAGTTTGCGGAGACAATTATCTAAGCGATCTTACTTGAACATCTGCGGAAGATGGGCCTCCACCACGTGCACAAATAAGTTCTGCTTGCATCAACTCCAGCTGATGCCTCATGCGCTGCATTTCAGCAGCCATAGGATCACGGTTCACCTGGAACACGTAGTGCAAAGAAGACATCTCAGTGAGCCAGATTTCCATGATTAGACGGAACGACAGCTCTTTCACAAGTCGTAACATAGTTGTGATGAAGTTCTAAGAAGAATTGAGGTGATAACAAACATGTGAATCCTAAGGGCTTCATAGACTAGTGCACTTTAAACAGTCCTTAGCTTTCGTAGACGATTCTTATTGAGGATTAAACAGATCACAAAAGAAAAGAGAAGAAAAAAATAAAAACAAAATAAAAACAAAATAAAAACAAAAGGCAGACCGTGGGTTTATTCTGAATGTTACGGGCCCGATTCGCATACTTCAGTGTGTTCAGCGTCTCCTCAGCATTTGAGTCGGCTGGACTCACACAAGCTGCACGAACCACGACATCACAATCAAAATTGAGGAGAATTGGGATATTGATACTGGTGATATTGCAACATTTCGAAGTAACGCAGCTCGCAGTGAAGTCATGCACAAGAAAAGTGATGAATAAGATCCATTCTCGAGACTCACCTATCATGACAGTCCGACTATTGCCTCCCAATGAATCCTGCAGATGAATGCTAATGGTCTTAGAAGAGTACTCGCATCATGCCTACGTTGTGTAAATATCTAGTCCGCTAACCAAGTAAGCTAGCCCAAATGTAAAGATCATAACCATTCAGCTACAGGTATCTTAAGAGGCTGCACTTGCCTGCAACAACCGAGTGAGTTTGCTATCACGGTACGGGACATGCCCTCCTTCCTTCCGCTTCTTATCATCACCAAGGGCACTGATCACATTTCCAAGGGCTAAAAGACCTTTATTTATGTGGACACCTGCATGGATATCAGAATAGTATTCTTGTGATGAGTATACTGATGGGCTAAGCGGCCTCTCTTACCATCAACACAACCGAAAGAAGCGGTTTAACATAGATTACAACGTGTGACCTAGCTTAGGCACTAAACACGACAAGGTACCTGACAAGTGAATTTCGAAGAGCCTCAATCAATCAACATTGTAGAGTCCCATTCACACAATATTGACCAAAAGACTGGTCTAATTCAGAAAATTTTAGTTTCCGAAATAATGTTTGATGCGACTGCAGAGTACATCATATTCCAGAGCAAAATGAACTACCTTGGCATCAAAAATACAGATCACATTAAGCAGATCTCATCTATTCCACAGCAGAAGTGAAACCAGGAGTAAAAACTTACATTACAGATTGTTCTTAAATGATTAGAGTGAGTGGCACGCATTCTACAGATTTCATTGAAACATACTACGACTGATGAAGCCAGATGGAGGTATATTAAGATTCAGAGAGTAACTAAGATGCAAAATGGCACCTTCTTTAAAGCGCATGCCATCAGCCCCAGTTCGTTTAGCTCTTTCTGAACCAGCCAAGTCAACAAGGTGAAGCTTTGCACAGAGATAATCGTCACTGCTGTCATCCAATACTCCTGCACAAGCCGTGGGCGAGTCCCATTTTCGCTTCTGCTCAACTGTGATGGTAAAAATTGCGTGCGACCGACTGAGCCATGCCGAAAGAGAAACCGTCAGGGAACTGAGTGGTTTTGAACCAATACAAGGAACTTTCCTTGAGGTAACAAGAAAAAAAAAATACATTCCATATTTTATTGGAATATTTCATATTCTATCGTCTGAGCGTCGTACTGATCCGGGTGAAAAACAAGTAAACAAAATAGTATCGTGACGTTACACCGCAAATTTTGACTAACGCGAAATTTGGAAGCAAACACCATTCATCATACAACAATTAAGCAACAACCATTAGATTGAACAAACCTGGAACTTGAATTCATATTGGTGCTCCCAGTGGCCCGACAAAGGGAACCTTGCTCCAAGCAAATTGCCATTTCTGCTAAGGTAGTGACTTCGGTCTCAGTCACGCCAGCTAGAGTAATACCACCATTACCTGTTTCTCTGATTTGGATAGGCGGCTTCACTGTTGCTCCTGTTTTCAACCCTCCGCCAAATGCCAAGCCATTAGTTCCGTTTGAGGTAGGAAGTTCTGTGGAAGGCGGACTGAAATCCAGGAGATCGTGTACTTCCTCCTTTAAAATCTGCCACGAATGAAAATTGTGATAAATTTAAGGTTATCGTGTACATTAAGTTGTCACAAAAACTTAAGTAAAACCAACTGCTGTCAGATACTACGAGGAAATACGAGCTAGTATTTAGATGCGGTCATGGTACCTCCGAGTAATTAACAAAAACTGATCACACATTACCGCCACTGCATAATCGTATGAACTTCTACTCATCTAGCCACTCATACCCGTGTCCTTCACACTTCCAGACTAGGTTAATCAATCATATGCGCGGTAATCATCTAAACGTCACGACCTCTACATTTACATGATCAATAATAACTCTGGAAGCAGATGTTTATGCCCACTCTCATACCTCAATAAATGAAATTCTTAGGTTGAATTCAGCACTGTCCTTCAGCGTCTCAACTTTGTTAAAGATTGTCTCCATGACCTTCGGTATTACTCCATCTGAATTACCTCCGACGGTGTAGGCCGTGCCCATGGTGTAGGTCTTCCCCGATCCTGTCTACACTTCACAATAACACCAATTTTTTTAAAAAGCAAGATAAGGAACAGTAAGCATATACCACGTAATTTACTCTTGAACATATGTGTAGACCATGGTACTCCTTGTGCCGAAGGATATCAATTAAATCCATGCCAACTCAACTAGGAATACATGGAGCACCGACGCTAATAACAATCGAACAAACTAGTGACCGAAGGAATCTTCCAAGATGTATCACGCATCGACTTGAAGGCAATTGAATATCTGACGACTAACAAGACCATATGGTTACAAATTTCACCTGTCCATAGGCCAAGACAGTCGCATTGTAACCATGAAAAAGTCCCTCCACAAGAGGTGCAACACAGCGGTCGAATATTGTCGATAATGGAGTTCCAGTGCTTCCAAAAACATGGTCAAAAGTAAAGGAATGGCTCCCAATTTGCACCTACAAGTCCTCAAAGCACACCTAGTCAGAGGTTTCATTCAACATGCAATCCAATTGTAGCTACAGTTACAATAACCCGGTGGGTTTACAAGCAATGGTGAAGGCGACAGGAACAGAAATCTAACAATTAAACATACCTGCGGCTCTCCCGGGACTACAAGAATGCAATCTTTACATCCTTGAATACGTTCTTGTGTGATTAGCGGTCTCACATTGAGGGCTACTTGCACAGCCTGTGTAGCCTCCTTGTCCATAGATGTATTGAGTGATCCAGAGCCGTCAGAGGACCCCGAATCGTGGCTGTTGGTTCTCTCCATTGTTTCGCACATTTGTGCACTGATTTGTGAATCAAGTGGACGGCTAAAATTCTAGAGGTTACATCCAATCCCAAAAAGATCATGTAGAAAGATCTGAGTCATTCGCCATCTATTCCTGTCAGCATTCGCAACAGGGCTCATGCCTGCGAATGACTGGACACGAAACGAAGTACAACCATCTCCTTCAAATGCTGATCCTCAAGAAACACCGCTCGCGCGTTCACATAGAGGCACAGCAACCTGCCAAGTTACAAACGAGAGCTTACGAATCCCAGACGATTGTTCACAAACCATTCCAGTAATGGCCAGCCTCGAATACGAGGCAAATGAGAAAATTGCAAAACTCTAAAGCTACACTACTATCCGCGACGTCACATTCATCGTCTTCAGCCCATGTGTGCTCACACAGGCACAGAATGTAATGCGAGCAGTCCTTTCCCTTTTCCCCTTTAGTCAACCAAGCTCGGAGCAGAAGCCGACTTGTAGCACTCGCAAACGCACAACAATCACCAATGGAGCAATCTCTAGCTCACTAGCACAAAACAGCTTCGATTACCAAGATTGGAGCGGAAAATCTAGCACAGCGTCGATCTGCACGAATCAACTCTCTCGCTATTCCATCGCACCAAATTCCTAGTCCTCCCGCCCTCACTCCCTCCCTGCCCACCCCAAACTCTGCAACGAGGACATTCCGATCATGAATCCCGTCGGGTTCTGGGAGTGTGACAAGCGCAAGATCAGAGAGCGGGAGAGAATGCACTCTTAATGATCGATGCAATTCTGCGTAACACCGGCGGAGCCTGCGCAATTCATCTCCCCGAAATGGCTCCCCTCTCTTCCACAAGCAGCCGAGTGCGGCGAGTTGGACTCACGGGGACCGGTATCCGTCTGCCCCGCCCCTTTCGAATCGAGAGTTAACGGTCCGTGCACGCGTGGGTGGTTCCGCGGGCACTGGTTCCCGCTGCTGCATCGTTCAAACTGGACAATAAGCATATTTGTCTCATGGTGGTTGTTGCGCTTGTCAATGCTGCTGCCATATCTCGATTTCAAATTCTCTGAGAAAATGACTTCGAGGAATTTTTGTGTATTAATTTTGTGCACTGAAATCCGAATCAGTAGATTCATTACGAAACTGGGTGATACACCTCAAAATGCACATAATATGTATAGATACACACACACACACATGTGTATATATATATATATATATATGAACTTGCCAAATCTAAAATAAAACTATATGAAGTTGGTAAGTCTTAAAATTGTGACTGGTTCAGAGAAATGTGTTAAAGACAGCATAATGCATATCTGTTGACATTGAGAAAAAAAAAATGCACTTTCCATTCTGGACTTCAATAAAAACCACAAATTAAATGGATGTAAATAAATTTGAGAGAGTAATAATAATTTGATCAACCTCGTTGTAGGAGAGTAATTGCCACATTTGAATGTGAGTGAATAAAAAATTATTGCTGATAATAGACTTCATATTGTTATAGCACATGAGCACAACTGAAACGTTCGTTCGTTTTAAATAAATATAGAATCAAATGTAACATGCTAAATACAATGTAAAGCTGCTTCCACTGGACAAACCAACATGTGAATGAAGAAAATCCCACAGTATCAGATAATGCAAGTAAAATTTACCTTTCCAACTTAATTACAGAAATCAATTTCTTGATTGATATGAACTGTTAATAAGAGTGTAAATGCTCGAAGAAACTTGCAGATGGTTTTTACTATAGTAATACTGTTCCTTTAATCCTGTCCAAATGTTGTTTCCTAAATACACAACATTACCTCTTCTTTTGGCAAGAGAATTTGAAAAATATACTGTTAAACCACATCATTTTGGATTTCATCAAAAAGAATATATATATACTGCGATTTAACATTAAACATTTGACGTTTTTTATTTTTTTATTTGTCTTTTTAAAATTAGAATGAAAATAGAATCTTCTAGGGAATTGAATGAAATACTTCAAAGTAAAAAGTAAGCACTTTTAAATGTGTTCTTCTTGATCTGTTACCCTTTTATTCACAACTATCATACATCCACAAAAACACATAAACTCTTATTTACACATGTAACAAATTTGACATTATAATCACACAAAATATGATGAGCCATACCAAAATTTCTTATTTAGGAATATCAACTACATTTCTTACATTTATTGAACATAATAACTACATCATACAAAGTATGGACATGAAGGCATACCAAATTGGCTCTTTTTGGCTTTTAGACTTATGTCAAAGTTTCTGTTCCTCAAATGAAGCCTTTTTCCCCATCTTGTTTTCACACTCCTATTTGTAGACATGCAGTGTCTAATAGTCATGTGCAGATTTTAGGGTTTGGAGGCAAAAGATGGAATCTGTGGCAAATGGGCCATGTGTATTGGTCCAATGGATGGGCAGACGTGGGCAGGGCTTTGTAAGAAATTCCATGAGGGGGGTGGCTTTAATGTGGGGCTGTAGAAATCTGGAATTGGTGAGGGTAGGGTTGGGGTAGGGATAGGATAGGATAGGGTGCAGTTATTATCAAATAGGGGGGGAGGCTCATATAACAAGGGGGAGGGGAGGGTCAAAGGCTATGGCCGAGGATGGATGGAGCCAAGCTGAGCAAGTTAAGATCCACCATACCCACAAACCCAACAGGGCATTCTCCAATTTAATGTTCTCTGAAATTGGGTATTGCCACTTCAGTGACCTTTCATGATCCAAGAAGTAAATGAATTAGGTCATTTAGAATGCATTTCGCAGAAATAAGAACATAGATTTTTCATAGATAAAATGACATTGTACAATGAGAGTGCGACATTATTACTTTTTTCCAACAGGACAACGGATTCCACATTCTTGGACAGGCAGCCAGAGGCCAACTGAGGTCCCATCCAGAGGGATTCAACTCTCCCCCAAAATCCAGCCGAGTCTCTTCAGCACAACACAACTGGAACAGTCTGTGTTTCCACCTCCAATCTGGCATGGGAAAGCACCGTTGCAGCTCACAGAGAGAGTGTGTGTGTTTTGTCACCAAAGCCTTTCGTTCTTCCCAAGCACACCTCTGACTCTCTCTCTCTTCCATCCATGAACTCATCCATGCCGAGATTCTACCCCAGTTTTGTTCTGCATGTGTTCTGTCCTTAAAGTTGGGGGCATTGCAATTAAGTTACCACAGGAGAAGAAGAAGCCCATGGGTCCGATTATCCTAATCTACATGAATCTGCGACCCCCTCCCCCCTTCAACACCATTTCCAAAATTAGGTAATTTGTTCGTGTGCTGACAGCCAACGCTATTACTCAGATGTGCCCAATTTAGGGGAACCCTAAGTTGCTTGGAGGGACTCGTCTCCACACTGGGATGGGAACAGTGGGTGGGAGCAACTGGGAATGCGGAGATGGGTTCTTTTTTTGGTATTTTCGGTTTGGGTTTAGGCCAATAAGGGGAGCGAAGGGAGCTTTGGTAGTGGAGGAGGAGGCGGTTCGGCATGCGCTACTTCCTGTTTAATCTCCCTCCTTTTACACTGCCCGATACCGCTAATCATGTTCCGCTAATTCCCTCTTTTTTTCCTTCTTCTTCCTCCTTCTTGCTTCCTTTTTTATGTTTTCCCTCTCTGAAATTTGGCGGCAGAGTCATTTATAAGCAGTACCCCTCGTGGCTCCTTCCCTCCACCTAACTAATCCAGGCCCCTTCCATCCCCCAGGGGTTCCAATCGCAAGGGGCCTGTCACCGTGGGCATCTGTTTGTTGAAAAGATGATGGTGCGATTGTTGTAGCAAGGGTTTTGATCAGTTCAAAACTGAGTAAATCGTACCTGGGAAACGTTTCGGAGGCAACAATGAGACAAGCTATAATGGGTACACAAAGTAAACTGTGTTAAACTCACATTTCAGTAAAAGAAAACAAGTTCAGGTCAGTTTGACAAGCAATTTACATGAGTATACATTTTATGAAAATTGCGTGCCGAACTATCTGTGACGCTGACCAGTTTCCTCATGCAAGGCGTAGAATCCTGGAATATGTTCCAATTTTGTGTAGAATAGCGAACAGAGTGAATGTACTGTTTCAGGATGTTCGACAGAGGTCAACTAAGCAGTCAATATGGGATCTGCTCCTCAAATCTCAATATTGTGAAGGTTGTTTTAATAACCCTGCGGTGACTAGAACTGAATCCGTTGGGCTACCAGTTCTAGAGCAGCTGGAAGCAATACTGGAAACCGGAACTTGTTCATTGCCTTCTCCAACTTTCTACGGAAGGAAGTAATATGTCGAAACAGCACAGTTGCACCGGCTGTTTCGAGAAGTATATGGGCCATCAGAATCCAATCCCTCTCCTTCACTCTGATCATCCGTGGAGGTCTTGCACCTTCCAAGCCCTCTCCTTTTTGAAGTCGGAGTGTTAAACATGTCTCAGCTGAGCCCTGACTATGTGTTCCAGGAAATTGGTTCACAGGTTGCAAGTTTAATATGCATGAATGTTGTCACAGTACTCAAAGATGTTTTATCTATCCCGGCTTCGCATGTCTCGCTCGGGGACTAACTCGGTGCTCTAGCAACTGTGCACGGTTCCTTGAAAAAGTTTTCCACGCCTAATTCATAGTGTAGAGCATGGAGGACAAGACTGGGTATAACTGCAAATTACAATGTTCCTTGTCTTGCTAGGTGTGTCACACGACATGCTTCGCTGTTTTAGTGTTGAATTCGTTCTTAGTTGCAGTGGCGGCGGCAATGGGCGAAGTTTGCTCGATTGTCAGTGCAGTCTTGCATTTGAACGAAAGTCACATGAAGTAGCTTTAGTCCGATATTAGCTGCAACTCGTACCGGCGATTCCTAATTCATCCTCAAGGAATATTGTCGACATGAGAGAAGGTAGCTCTCTATCTAAGAGCGTTGACAAGACCACTTCCCGGAGCAATTTAAAGGATTATCTACAGCAACAATTTCACGTCAATATTTTGAACTGCTCATCAAAATTGGAATATGTGCCTCGAAGAACGGTGAACTGGTTGAAAATAGGTAATTTTGTCATCCAGCAAGGGACCCGAGATACATGTCATCTCTTTCGCAGTAAAAAATATTTTTTCAGACTTGATCCAGACACGATTTAATTTTGTTTGAAAGTCTCAACGAAGGTAGTCGCTTGATGGATTGCTGCAGCAAACATGTAACTTTGACAAGTCAGCTGTAACCTTCGATCGTGTTTAAGGCCTTTGTGGCACCGGAACCCAAAACGTCAAGTTTGAAAATAACTGCATCGAGGTTTCATTTGCTAGCAACGACAGCCACCACTGGACACACGGCCTGTCAGTAAAATCCAACTTATATATCAAAACTAGGAAACAAGGAGGCCACATGTAGCCCTGGGCATGAAAGCGGAGTTATCAAAAGTTGCTAAACGATTCGCCTTCTTGACATAGCAGCAATAGGGTGTCTTGTCAACCCTTGGTGATCACAAGCACCTCCAAGGATGCACCTTTCCAGATGTGGCAACAGTGGACAAATGCTTTGAATTGTTACTACCTCCATCATCACCAAGCACAAACAGATGCACTCAATCCATCAACAACCGGGAATTCGAAGTTCTACGACTTTATTGTGCTATTTACAAAATGAAGGAAGGATTAGAAAGTTTAAGAATCTGCCAGTAGACTTCATGGCTTTGGCTTTTTTGGCTGCCTTGGCAGCAGCTTCTACTCTTTGTGTTTCGGCTGCTAATCTCAGAGTCGCTGCCTGGTGCTGCAGAGCGGCCATCTTGTTCGCCAGTTTTTTATGAGCCTGAGATAACATGTGCTCTGCTTTGATCTGCAGTTCACAAAACATTTTAATTGTGGAAGGAAACTAGTAAACCGCGATAGAATCAGAAGAATAACTGGCCGTAAACGAATTGTGTCATGTCTCATTGTGCATCACACATACCTCTACACTGCGCATTTCTGCCTCCGCCTTCGTGTTCTCATGCTCTTCCCATTTCTGAATCTTAGCCTGTTCCAGCTGGAACCTGATAGACATCCAGTACACACAACTGGTTCATCATTTAATTATCACAATTTTTATCGTCAACTGACCTCGTGACCATTCGTACAGAACTTTAAGAATAGTACGATGACGACACATGTCTTATGTTGTTCGAATGAAAGCTGCACCTCGAGTTAAGCTTAGCTTTTTCCGCTTCCTCCGTCGCGGCAGCTTTAGTTGCAACCGCATCTGTCCAAATATGTTCCACCTCGAGTGCATCTTTGGATCTACTTCCGGGAGTTGACAAATATTTTTCATCTCTTGCAGCCCAGGCAGCAATGTTCACCTTGCCAAGCTGGGTTCCTAGTGCCACAATTTCAAGCCTCGTTTTCTCCTGCAATTCCTTCGCAGTCCATACCCTCAGAGACTCCGCACCACCACTTTTATCCGTGGGCGCAGCATCATTCTCATGATGGCGGAGCGAACTTACTTGCAACATATCAGCCCTGTTCCCTGAACCTGGTGTTCCGATAGGGGTTCCTGCTCGTGAGGGCTCCACCGATGCTGTCGGTGTCATTGCAGTACCTACATCCTTCATGGCAGGTGAGGTTTCCTCAAGGGGTTTCTTTACTCGTGCCCCAAGCTTTAAGAAGCTACCAGTACATTCTGGTGATGAGCTTCCGCCGTATGACTGCACACTCCGGAGTGGACAAATTGAATCCAATCTTTCCTTTTCATCTGCTGCCACCTTGGAAATATCTTCTTCCGCAACTTCAGTCACGTACTTAAGTGAGACGCAAGTACCGGCACCATCACCAGCATTTTCACCGAGTTCTGATTGAGAGCGTTGCGCAGGTCTCAAGTGTGTGTCAGGATGTGGATCAGTTGAAGAACTCTTCCAGGGTGTTGTTACACCATCCTGTCTCGCAACCATCTGGATCAAGGGAGGACCACTTCGCACTTTCGCTCTCATTGATTTGATTTTATCACCTCTAGGTATCCACTTCTCCGCGTCATCCCATTTTGAGGGAATGGGTTTCAGCAGAGGAGTCATAATAGTCCTCTGAACGTGGCGACTCAAACCCAGGTCAGAGTCCTTCGCACAGTCGTGATGACTTCTGTCAAAATCCTCCATGTTGGATACGTAGGCTGAGTTGAAGGTTAAGAATTTTGAGGGATTGCTCTTGATATTTGTAGGTTTTGACGCAGTGAAAACGCCATATTTTTTCTTCTTTACAGTTTCTGAGGCCGTCTTATCTGCACCTGCCAACAGAGTGGGTCTGAGAGGAGCCGTTATTGTTTTCTTTGACTTTCCGCTGGAAGCATCGTGCGAAGCTGACCAGCCGTTCCCTTCGGCACCGCTGAAAGCATTCTCCGTGGGTTGTACAGATAGTCCTGCGTCATAAACCATACGAATCTGAGAGGACACCACAGTTGAGTCACGTTTTCCCTTCAATGCAGATAAAAGACAAAGGATCGGATTCTTAAGTGTTCAAATGCTTGTATCGTTATCATGGAATAGTATGCTAGCAGCTGGAATCCAGTTGAGAGCATTTGGCTATACCTATCACTCCTGATTTTCGGGGAGTGTTACCGCCTTGCTTGTTTGGTCCTTGAGCATCTCCAGTCTGAAATCAGGTCCGACGTAATTTAGAGCGTTGCGGACAAACAAAGTTATCTCTTGAACACCAGCATGGCTAAATATGTAATTTGAATTTCTACTTAGTATTCATCAACTTGGTCAAGGTACGGTTGCAAGTTACCTTCCGAGGCTCTGACCCAGGGAATGCACAACAGGAACTCTCCTCACACTCTGAAGGGGACGTCCGTGCCCGCCCTGTACCTCTAAAGCTTCCTTCTGATTCAAATGTTCTGCCTGATTCACTGGATGCCTTCGATATTATGGACATTGTAGGACTGCTGGAGTTGCTTCGTCTGGCCGAGTTTTGTATAACACATGTGGGACTATTGTCGCCTTCATTTGTAAAAGATCTTGTACTCAGAAAGAAAACCTCCAAACTACTGATCGTAGACGTACATGGGCAGATAAAGATTCGTGTTCTAAAGGAACTCTAGGGTCAAGTTCAGTAATACATGAAAGTCACAAGCATTCCGTTTTCGAAAAGTTACCTGATCCTGCTCCGTGGTGATCCCGGCCCAAGTAGCAGTCCACTCCAAACTGGTCATTATCAACCTCGAAAATGGAGGACCTAAGAGTGAGCTGAGGAGATTTCGGATGGGCTTTGAAGTTAGTCCTGGATTTGGGATAGCGAAGGCTTCCTGTCTCTGTGTCATACACCAGAGTTCTAGAAGGCAGCTTGGCCAGACCATCACTGCCCTTGCACTGCCCACCATCCACAACTGCACTGGAAGTTACCATGGAAAACGGTAGTGCCACCGTAGAACCAAGAACTCTAAGCGAATCAGTCAATTAATGAGGCAATGCTCTTAACACAACCACATCAAGATTATCATAATTGAGGTCAGCATCCTCAGCAGCTCTGCACCATGGAATCACCAGGACAGTATCAACTCTGGAAACTTGGGATGCACTGCCGAAGAGTTCAATCCTCCTTCGTCCTGCGCGAACATCTGGACAATAAAATTGAGGTTAAGAAATCTCAAAGACAATTAATTGCAAATTCCGGAGATAATGGCGGCCCCGAAACGTTGTGAAGACTCTGCCTAAACGATCATTGCAGGTCAAGCACATCCATCTTACCACAAAGCGTGAAGAGAAGGCATCGTATAATTTAGAGCCCTTACAACTCGCGAAAGCTAAACTAAGTCATGACAATCGTGGATCCAAAATGTCGAACTTCTAGAGATTGATCTGAATCACCTAAATACATCCAACGTAACTGTGCGTAGAGTTGAAGCCAGAGGTCGATTTCCTCTACTAACCAAGCCCATGAACAGCCAGGCGGAAGGGACAGAAAGAGCCAACATAGCAGACAAGTGTGGAGGTCACGTAAGACTCTCTCTCTCTCTCTCTTCTTGCAAACTCGATTCTCTCAACCAGATGGGCCAGGTCAAGAATGTGCACATAAACCGTACCTCACAAGAAGAGAGCTCATTCAGAAACTATGGAGACGCGGATAGTGACCAACAACTAGCTGCAAGAACAAAATCTCAACACGCAAATACGCAGCAGAAAACGCTGACGGTGAACCGTAACTACACAGCGGTCGAAAGTACGCTCAAACTCACGCTCGACTGACACGGACGTAGAACAGTAGGGGGAATAGATAACAAGCGAGGTACGAGCCTGACAATGGCATGCGAGTAGATCACAGGCAGCAGCACACGAATTAGAAAAGGGCAGGGTGCAGCCGGGTCTTCAAGATCCAACCCTTGCAGTGAAACCATGCTGCTTTCATCTGACTCGTGACCACGTCGAGACATGTCCCGCAACGTTGTCACAAAACGGAATTCAGCACAAAGTGAGAAGATGCGCTTAAGTACCTGCATCAGCAGCCTCCATGAGCAATGCAGCAACACAATGACGAGCGTGGAAGGTGGAATCGGGCCAGGATGCTGCTGCTGGTGCTGACATGGGAGCGAGGCTCAAATGCCCTCCCGTCTCGGGCATATGAAAGCGCGCGGCGTGGTGTTATAATGGGGAGCCGTCATCCCGGCCCACTCGTAAGTGCCAGGCGCGGGGAGGGGGGAGGCTGCGTTAGTAAGTTACTAGGTGGGCCAGTTAGTCAGTCAGGAAGCGTGCGTGAAATGACGGATATTACTTGTTCTTACCATCAATATTTTATATTCTTACTATTAATATTTTATGGTGTGAAAATCATAATATCGTGTCTCAAGCTACTAGCACATGCCAAATTGTTATGTGCACATCTATTGTGTCTATACATACACATGATCCTTTCATTTGTTCATCCAAATCTTTCTTTTGTGTTTCTTTTTTTTCTTTATCCCTTGTTCTAGCATTGGTCATGGACCTCCTCCCCTTCTTCCTTGTCCTAGAGCAAGTCCTATCCCTCTCCTCTTCCTTGTCTTGGGCTAGGACAAGGATGAAGGGATTTGGATTTGCCAACCAAAGGTTTTGGGTGTGTGTATAGACATAATAGGTGTTTGTAAAGCAATTTGGAGTGTGCATGTCACCTAAACTTAATATTTGAAGCAGCATTGTTAGATAACATTATTAGAAGTGGCAAATGTAGTGTATGGTTAAAAATCCATAAAATAGTCTTATCATGTGAAGAAAAAATCTCTATTAATCTTAATATTTGTTTGGTTTGTTGTAATATTTTTTAATAGATAAAGATTATATAATTATTTATTTTTGTGCTTATTGTTAAATGAGGAAATGACTATATTGGTGGATTTGTGAAAGAGATTTATAGACTTATTAACATGTAAGTTTTTATTTATGGAACATAGATTTCATTTTTTTGAATGGATTAAATTATTTAAATGTTGAGGATGTGAATGAAAAAAGAGGTTTTGAATTGTTGGCTTTTGGATAATGAATTATTAAATAAATATTTTTATTTCATATCATTGAAAGTAAAATAATCTATGAAAGAAATAATATTATGATGAAATTGACATACTTTAGAATTAATTATAATTTGAGGTCATAAAATTTGGAGTACCACTAAAAACATGTTTCAAACAATATCAATGTGTAAATATATATCAAACGAAGTACACTGAAGCTATTATATCAATCAGTCATTATTTTTAGTTTGTAACATAATAATATTTATAAACATAAATTTGAATTAGTCAAATAAAAACATAAAATTGGTACAAATTTAATACAAATCAATATTTAGAGATTAATATTTAAACCTATAAACATCAAAGCCAATAATTTATTTAGAATCTAAAATGGTTCAATATTCAGTAGTACTTCTAATAATAGTATAAAATAAAATACTATATATAGTAATAACTATGTATTATTAAAAAAATTAAATAAAAAATTGAGCCATGTTAATTTTTTTTATATAGAGATTATGGTTGTTACTCATAGATATAATAAAAAAAGTATAATTTAAATTTTGTAATGTTTTAAAATTAAATTTCTAAATCTATTTTTTACATAAAAACTTTAAAACCATTTCCAAATTCTACATTTAATTTTTGAAAAATTGTGCACTATATATTTTATGATTTTATCTAATTATTTTATAAATCATCATCCTAGATGTTTTCGTTTTTTTCATACGAAAAGATTATATATATTTCAAATTAAACGTATGCTTGAATATTATTATAAAATGTTTTGCTTCATTTGGTTATGTTGGTAAGACAAGTCAAGACAAGTAACATATGTGACACAAGTGTTGTAATGTAACTTTTATTTATAGGCAACAAAACCATGATTTTTATTACATTAATCTACATATGGATTAAGAACTCTATAAAAGAGAAATTTTTGCATACTAAATAATATATAAAAAAAAACTCTACAAAACATAATTGTATTATTTTTGCTTTACAATCATAATACTCAAACTTGCATAAATAGCACACAAAGAAAGAAGGGAAAAAAAAAAAAAAAAAAAAAAAAAAAAAAAAAAAACTGATTCGATATTATAGATATTAGAAAAATAGTAAACATTATTCGAATTAAGTTAAAGAAACAAAGGTCATGAAAATAAAAATAAAATGGAATTTTTATTCCTTTGAATTTTAGCATAGGCCACTTCACCAACACAATGAAAGTAAAATTAGACCATGCAATAACTAAGATCTACCCAGTACCGAGAATTAAAATAAAATAATATAAATGACAACAACATTATTACTAATTTTCGTGTTTCAATAGAATATTAACAGGAGAGAGTGAAAAACAAGAGGCCTTAACTAACACATTGCCATGTAACATAGATAAAGCTCTGGTGGCACAAGCAATATTCAAACTTACCCCAATATCACTATACAAGTTTCATCCTATGAACACTGAAATGGGTGGAAGGACTTGAATTGTACTTTGAAAGGGAACTGACATGAATCTGAGCATTGGAATCCATGTGGGTTTCCTGCCTTGGAAACGACAGTCTACTGACTAAGGCAAAAAAAATACCGTTGCTATTTACTAGAGGTTGGTTATGCTCTGTCCTTAGCGGCACGAACTGCAGCAAATGCATCGATGTCACTTGCAGCAGCCGCCACATTGAGTGATTTCCTTAGTTCAGCACTAAATGGTCTCAGAAAAGGGTTAAATTCCTTCTCCTCTCGTAATGTGGTGGGAATCTGATAAGACAATAAAGCAGAGCATCTATGAGATTCAGAAACGACGGCATTCAATTAGACTGAGACGAGGAAACTACAACGCATAGTAACGAATACGTTCTGCTGCACGTGAGTTTTGTACTCACCGTTGGTTGATCCTTATCACGAAGCTCCTTCACTTGCTGAGCTCGTGACTGCAAAGCAATATTCTGAGGCTCCACAGTCAATGCGAACTTTGCATTCGACTGCATACAGAGGAAAAGGATTATTAGGCAAACGATACTGGAAGATTTCGGAATTTCAGAACGATTGGCAGGTACACAGAATCCCCCGCCGTAAACATCAGGAACAACATCAAGGATAATCGTTGTGAGTTGGTAGATAGCCTCGCAGTCATTTTTCTCTTTAAGACCTAATTTCATTCCTTAACCCACATAAACTTCCCACAAAGAAATTCGCTCACCATTGTATATTCATGACCACAGTACACTAGTGTGTCATCCGGCAGCGCTGTCAATTTCGACAAAGAAATCCACATCTGCAGGCGTTCAAAACTACAATAGATTAAATACCTTCTCAAAAAAAAATACTCATACTCGATTTGTAAATTGCCATCGAAATACATTCCGTATCCAGATGTGAGACCTGTTATCCTACTAAATAGTCCAGGAACTAATATAAAAACTTGCACAGACTAATAGTTGCATAATCATCGAACAAAATTCATCTGAAATCACGTTAATCACTAATCAAAGTTCAGCACCTGCTCAGGAGAACCTTCAAACAAGCGGCCGCATCCTATTGAAAAGAGAGTGTCTCCAGTGAACAAAGACTTGCTTCTTTCAAAGTAGAAGCTAACATGCCCTGCTCACAAATAGTTCAATACTAGAAATTATTGGCCCAACAAATATTATTACATGCAGAGCATAATCTGAACGAGTAGCCACTGTAATTCATTTATGGATTGCAATCACCTCGAGTATGACCGGGGGTATCAAGAACACGCATGAGCTGCTCGCCAAACATCCATGTCTCGCCATCTCTAAGAGCAATGTCAATGCCTGGTATCCGTTCTTGGTCTGCTCTTGGCCCTACCACCTACCCTACAACCAAATGTCAGCTTACGCTATAATTAAGATCGACGATGATGGTCATTGCACTTTCATGTCTACATTAATCCCTCTGTGGACGTGCACTCCATTAATGACGGGTTTCTAATGTGCTGCAACTTTTTTTGATTATGACTAGAGGTAAATACCTTTGCATTATACTGTTTCTTCAAATCTGCATTTCCACCAGTGTGGTCCCAATGATGATGAGTGTTTAAGATGTAGTCCAAGGACAGGCCTTTTTCTTTCAGAGCCTTAACAACAGGCCCAGCAGCAGAAGGGTCCACAATACCAGTGGTGCCGGAGGCTGTATCATGGAGCAAGTAAGCATAGTTGTCCACCAAACACTTAACCTGTATGAGCATTCAATGCAGGAAGAGTTTATCCTGAGTGACATGTAAAATGAACTATAACAACAGAAGTCTACCTCAAGAGTCGTCTAACACGAAAAGGTCAATGGACACTGAAACTTGGGTACTAATGAGAGCAACTTGTGGACAGCTAACTGGATTTCAACAAATGAAAAAAGAAAAGAAAAGAAAGAAAAAACAGAAAAGAGCCCACATATTTTAGTCACGATATCAGCATATTCAATGGCGCTTCCCGAAAGACAGCCAGGATATAGGAGAAGATGAGTACAAGATCAATTTGAAGCGCAGCTTGCGTAATAGTTGCACTATTGAACTGCCTCTTGATGCCACCCCAGAATTGGCTGTTTGTCCGCGCACCAAGAAGAACCCTACTAGTACCGCCCCTTGGCCAGACGCTGCTCTATAGTCCAACTCAACATTTTACCAACTTTTGTAGAGGAAATTGATACTCAACTCTTTTCAGAAACACCAACTTAAATCTGTGATCCATTAACGTAAATTATAACTCAGTCTTCGACGAAGTATCAATGAGAAATATTCAGGTGCATCAGTTCAACACCAGCTTTATTAGACTCACTATTCGATGCAAAATTACAGGATTTTGACCCTTACTCATTGCAAGACGAAGTAACTTCTGGAACAATATTCAGCAAAATTTAGGATTTCTTCCCTGTTTGCATGACCATAAACATATCGTCGAATATCCTAAGGTCTGTAACCCAAGTGTCGAACGTAAAATCCACCGAACTCAAATTTCTTACTCACTTGCCCATAACCAGACTTGCCCAGACGAAGGCCTCGTACATGACAATGAATGGAGACAAACCCATCAAGAACAAGGAATAGAATGGTGACCTCCCATGCAGTTCGCAGTTCCGTGAAAGGAGTAAGCATTACCCACACCTTCAAACCCCCCGCAGCTCTAAACCTCATAGCTATTCTAACAGACTAGTTTTCCGCGCCCAACTTTGCAACGTAGATTGCTATATATTGTCTCGCAAAGCCAATTTCATCCCAAACAAGCATCAGTCAATGAAACTAAGGTTTATGATAAAAGTTACTTACAAGAGCGTGTGGACATCGGTGACGGAGAGCCACGGTGGAGGAGAGTGAGTTGATCGCCATCGCCATCGCCATCAGTGCTCGCTATGGAATACTAAATCACAACATGCACCTGTCCACCTCTCATCAATAAGCTTCACCCGAATCACCGAGGCGAAGGTTTCGGAGACATCCTCTGACGGTAGCCCATAACCGCGCTAGGTCAAGGACGAATGTCGATGTCTCTCGCATCGAAAGTTCTTCACCATCCATTCTCATGCTGTCGTGGCAGTGAAGGTCAACCAGACAAATTTCTCTGAGAGATGGATTCAGCATTTGAGAGTAATTTTAGGCACTGGCTTTTCAGGGAAAGTATGGACGATAAATCAGTCACGGAGATGGCGCATCGCCGAGAAAGTGCATCTAATTCTCATCGATTAGATGTCTTTGTTTTTCAGAGCTATCTTTTCGGTCAGATTTAGTGTTGAGCATGTAGCAATGACATTCTTGCAAATGTTGCATGCAGCAATTTACACATGACCCGATGATTCATTGTCCTTGAAGGATGTGGATACGGAGAAGAGTGTCGGGTTTAAGAGGTTGAAATTCACTGAAATTCGGTAAATAGACGCCTTGGATATAATAGCGGAGGTTGTAGTTCTGGATATGGAGGTTTAACGGGACGTGGTGAAGCAGGATATGGCAGAGCAGTATGCCGTTGGATGGACAACGTGGGTCGCATCGACCATTACATGCTTCGAAACCCCAAAACCTGTCGTGGCTGAGAGTGCTGAGATTATTACTGCAAAATTCTGGTAGCTTCATGAGTACAAATAAGTGTTTGTATCAATGCGGTCCTCCGCAAACACTGAAGCCTCTGCAATCGGCACGGATGCATGAATAGTGCACTTGTGCCACCTTGTGATTATATTAAGTTGTAGAATCAACCGAACAGTCTCATTTTCTGAGGTTGCTCTGCCAGCAATTAGACATTTGTTAGTGAAGAGTGTACTTCCATTTTTCTTTGATGGCACTTGAGGTGTGCTTGCTCTGTGGGGCTTGATACACAGGGTTGTGTTTCAAATTCTCTTCATGAGAGGCAGAAGAATCCTTTCTGATAACTTAAAACCCTAGGGTAATGGAATACCTGTTGTCTACAATAGTTTGCTGATTACATGAAGATTGTGTTTTGTGTTCGGGATTCAGACCTTTAGATTTGCAGCCTCGGGATGAGATGCTGCAGGAGGTGTTTAGGTGTACCTGCTTCTCTTTTCATGCTTTCCTAGATTGTGAAATTGTTTATAAACAAACCTTCTCATATACTCGGTTCAATACTTTGTCATCGTCACATTCCGACTTTTCGGACTTCTGGCAATTGGAATATTCGTCTCTTCTTTCGGTCGAGCATCTGAAGCATTTTGGTGTAAAATTCCATGAAAGTTTTTGTCTCGATCACTAGGGACAGTCGATCATATTCTTGTCAAAGTAAAGTGAGAGGAACAGGGCAGATTCAGCTAGCGCAATCCTCTTGAAGAGACTTTTCCAACTGCTTGCAATCCAATGGCAGATCCTTGGAATTGATATACACAAGATTTTGATCTCCAAGAGGTAGTGGGACCCTCCCCCAAAATGCCGCATCAGAAACTTTAGACGGTCTAACTATCTTCAACCAAGTCTTTGGTTCAAGTATCCTTGCAATTTCATCTCCCTCGTTCAATAACTTGCGAAACATCTTTCTGATTGCACTGACATGCTGGTTTAGGCGAAGACCCGGTCTGTTTTCCATCTGCCACTCCTGCCAGCAAGTCCTACTTCAACTTCAAAGAATCAATGGTAGAGAGAATTGGTGATAGTTCAATTGAAGGAGTCTTGCGCTTGTGGGATGTGCGCTTAGCTTGAACGCAACGCCTCAGAAACAGTCCGCTTATTCCAAAGCTTGGAACTAGTGTCAGCGAGCAAAGTTGAAAAGAATGCATCTACAAAATCTAGAACCTAAAACGCTTTATTGATATCTGCCACACGGCAGACATGCATGGCATCAGACGTAGGTGCTAGCGCAATTCTAGCCTTTAGACATCGATTTAACTTGCTAAGGGAAGTTAGCGAGACACGCAGAGGACACAAGTGACAATAGAGCACCTCTTGAGCTACAGGGTGAGTCCAGCGCTCGGAACTGCATGGACTTTGAAACACAACCTTAGCTGCAGTCTAGATGGTGCCTGATCGTCTGCCTCTCATCATCCTACTTCTTCGCTTTGTTGTCAAGGTAATTCCATTCGTGGTTTCAGGAGAGGCCGATCCTCAGTGGACATTACACTCTCATGTGAAGTCGACTTTTTGCAGTGAGAGCAGTTGCAGAGAAGTTGACAATTGCTATAAAGGAGAGAAACAGGAGGGAGGCATGGCAACTGCTGTAGCCTCAAACCCTCCGCAATGCAAGGTATGTTCGATTCGGAGCTCTAAGTTCCTGGACGCCAGGATCCGCGAGGTCTCCGTGTCTTGAACTGTCGTCGAGCCATTGCGTTTGCACGTATCACTGTCGTTGCGAGTCAATGATGTCAAAGTAAAATTCAATTCCCCAAGAGTTTGAGTGTTTCGCATGAAATTGAGTTCTGATAGGTTGTTCTTGATTTTGATACTCAACCTACTCCTTTCGAATAATTCTAGGAGCTCTGCAAGGCAGATTGAGAAGCTCTGCACTATCAGAATTCCATTGGTACAGAGTTGCTTACAAAATATTCGTGTGTCTAATAATTTCTGTTGACAGATTTTGGTCACGTTTCGGCGGCATGAAGGTAATCTTACGTATTGTCGAAGATCCAATTGTTTCCTCGTGCAATATGAGTTTAGAATAGAGGATTCGGCAGGTAAGAAAGCATGATATGCTTAAAGACATAAGACCAAGGCGCTCTTCGTCAGTGCGAGTTTGTGTTTCTCCTGGCAGGTTGGTGAAATTATTTCAAAGTTTGAAAGGAAAGGCTTTCAGATCATTGGACTCAAGCTCTTCAGGCCCCCAAAAGAACTCGTCGAGGTAAGCATTTTCATCGTAGTACTGCTGCGGGTGATTGTGTGGGATTGAGTGCCGATGAAGACGGAGGGTTCAGACCATGTTGTTGAAGGAAAGAACATCCTCATCTCAGGCCTCTTGCCGCCTCGCAAGAGCACTACAGAGATCTGAAAGAAAAGTCGTTTTTATGGAGACCTAGTTGACTACATCACTTCAGGCCCTGTCGTCTGCATCGTATGATCCACTCAGCACTTCTCTTCCAATCTTTGTTTCGCAAGTGTGCTCCTCCTAAATGTCCATGAGGTGGTAACAATGAGAATAAGATCCGACGTTGGCATCGATTGGACTGGTCTCAAAAGTCGGAAATTTCACATTGCATAGCACTCTTCTACAATTGAATATATCTTAAGTCCACTCGTTCCATGTGGACTTTGAATTGATTGGCTTCGCAGGCCCTGGAGGGCTCCAGCGTTGTGGCGGCGGCGCGGAAATTCATCGGCGCAACCAATCCCTTGAAAGCAGAGCCAGGCACCATCCGTGGTGATTTCGCTATCGACGTGGGAAGGAACGTCGTTCACGGAAGTGACAGCCCTGAGAATGGTTTCCAGGAACTCGGCGAGTTATTCTCCTACGTCTCATGTCCAACTCTTTCTCATGTATTCTGATGTGCGATCTAGAATTCTGATCCAAAATCTATCTGCTACATTGCCATGCCCTCATGTTCTAATCAATAGTTGTGGTTCAGGAATTCTAGGGCTTTGGTTTCACGAAGATGAGCTCGTTGAGTGGGAGCAACAGTAACAAATGACTCAGCTGGAACAATGAAAGTAATGAATCGAAATTTTGTTTTGAACTCATTATATGGTCATGCAACACAAAATGAGTGGAGCGTTTAGATCTCAATTACTCTTGTCAGAAGTATAGGATTAAGTGTTTTGTCCAGTCTGGTGCAATTTGAATGGACGATTGATGAAGTTCACGAGCTGAAGACTGTAGAAAGAAGTGGATTTCGCACGCCGTTTGAGGGATATGCAAATAGCTTATTACAAGGGACAAGAGATTAGTTCCCATGCAACTTAAGTATTAAAGCGAGTTTTATAAGATTGTGTATCATGAGTACAACATGATGATTAGAATACAGGTAATTGTTGCATGCATAAAACAGTTAGAGACTATTTAATTGAATATTAGAACTTTGACACTCTTTTCCTCCCTTCTTTCAATCTTTCAACGTATTAATACTGGATCCTTAAGTTTACATTTAAATTTACATCTACACATTAGCATAACTTGTTTTTTTTAAAAAGCATTCACGTTTTATTTTTTCAATTAAATTCAGCAAGGCACTGTATTGAATATCTTTATTCACACTGACGAAATAAATTGCACTGACTAAAAAGCATGCACAACTTACAAGTTCGGTATGGTTTTCATTAGAGCCTATCATGCACAATAGGCCTGCTGATCGGCAAACTTGATTGTGAAAAAATGTGAGTCTTTCCCAGCACATGTAGATCGCAACAACCAGTTAACCTGAATGGTTTTGATGCAGAGAACAACAATCGACCTGCAATTCGACCTTTCAGATTTCAACAGTTTCTCGACGATGAAGACATGATAGTCATCAGTTGACAGCACCGAATGCCGGTAAGGAATCACAAGGATTCATGCCACTGATCAGGGGCGATGACCATGACTAACTTCTTTCGACGTAACACAGGCGGCAGATGTCACAACGCTGCATCTACACATGTTGCCAGCTCTGTCTGCGCCGCTTATGCAGCTCCTGTGACGATCTCGGAACCATCTCAAGGTGGCTTGCACCAAACTCCTCTGCCGCGCCTTGTAGCGCGTCCTGTTGCCCGCAACGGGTTGTTGCAGCCGTGGTGGAGGTGTCTCTATAGCTGTGGAAGACGACGGTGTGTTAATGTGATCGATGTTCCTGCTGGAGGCAGGAACGTGGGCGAAGTTCTCGGGTATGTCGGAGAGATTGATGTTGCGTCTAGACTTTCTCTCCAAGCTTCTCTTAGCATGAAGTCCAGCCCTGGCATTCTCTAAAATCGCGTCAACCTGATCAAATATATCATCATCCTCATCATGCACTTTTGTCGACATCTTAAATTCAGGATAGGTTACAACCACCTAAGTGACGATGCGAGGTGATGCGAGAGAGCTGCGGCGCCGCAAACAGCGGCTGCTAAAGGGATTTGATAATTTGACACTACAACAGAGTTGCTGGCTCGCACGATATCTATGTGACTTACGGTAAATGATGCAAGAGGCGCCTAGTGCCAATTTGATTCCAGCGTTGATGCAATTGCACAAGATGTCCACCCATCATCCATCCCAATCAGTGGTGAACCCAATTCAGTGGTGATCATCCGATAAGGGCTTCGAGCCACATAACGTCAAGATTTTTAACTAGCACTCAGAGACTGCACAGATTCCAGCGATCGATCGGAGCTACAACGAAGGGCATGTCGCAGGAAATCAGATGCACACTAAAAACGTGCAAACAGAGCTAGTCAACACCAGAACTACGTCTCTCCTGAGAAACAGATTCCAACACCTCAGCATAATCTTCGTCTGTACCAAAGCATGCTCGAAAGCTATGTACAATGCATGTATCAACCTCCATTTCCCAGCTCGCACAACTATGTTAAGACCAAGATGGCAGTGAATGGACTGCTGCCAATATTTCATTCTAAAAAGCCACAACCCTCTCAGCAAGTACGGATTCTCAGGAAACGGATGCATGTGACCTGCAGAAGTTGGCGCTGCAATATTGTCGAGAGAGCTCCGCAAGTACTCTGACAATCCTAGAAACGAAGACCCACTTGTAACCTGCATGCTTAAGCTCCCGACCTATTTAATGACACTTGGTCTGTTTAGCAAATCGTATCATTCTCCACTCTCGGTCAAGTCCATACGTTCACCAGTAAATCGGTGTGGTAGTTGACCAGCACAACTCCACAATTATGTCGCATGAGTCTATGCAGCTTACTGCGGTTGAGTTCGTGTAAAAATACATTTGGAATGACCACTCAGAATGTTTCTAAATATCCATTTCAAATTAAATCCATCGTGAAACCAGCCAAATGCCAGTCTGCAACTGCTCCCAGTGAGTACCTGAAGATGCATTCAAGTCCTGGAAATGCTACTAATGACATGTAACCTCCTGGCTGACACTGTCAGCATTTGTTAATGGTGTGTGGTTGGCAGAACACTCCTTGGTCGTTGCAGTGACCCATAAATAATAAGATATTTCACCTGAAATATACCCTCGGAGGAGAACTGCACTGTAGTTTTATCGACCTGCTCCGAAAGCAGGCTTTGGAGCCCATGCGGCTAGAATTGCCGAGACTGATGAGTACTCTAGTCTTGTGACGAAAGAATGCGTCTACAGCTCTGTCAGTATGTGCACTGTGCTGTTTGAAGATCTTTCAAATTACAATGTCATTGAAAGGAGACGTTTATAATTTTGAACGTTGGATCACATTAATCAGATAAGTTGGTCATTGTTATTGTTGAACCAGTAGTACAAATCATCTAGTTCTTTGTATATACCAGAGCAGATACAAGCGTCATTTTTCTGAAAAGTAGTCACTACCCCAGCCCTCAAAGGCAAAAAAATCAGTACATGAGTAGAATGCGAAAATCAGCTCAACAATGTACAACTTGAGAACATGGCTAGCGAACTGAAGCTCTGCCATTATTATTAGATAGTGTTGAATGAAGAAATGATCATTAACTCCATAAACTCTGGAATGTTTTGCCCTTAACTATGTAAATCTAGTAACCGAGCTACATATCGGAGAGTGCTTGAACCGTCCCATATTATTAGCTACTAGAACGGACTTTTCTCCTTCTTGGGATCCTCGACAAACGATGGCCGTGTTGACTGCCCAATATCTTCTTCATTGGATCTTCGCCCACCACCTCCAGATTCTTCCTGAGAGTTCTTCGCCACCACTTCAGCAACCCCCTCTTGATATCCTTCTACGAAGCTCTTAAGTGCATCTCTGTAGGCGCTTGCACGTGTCATGTAGATACGTTGCAGGGCAGGTTTTATATGCTCTACACCCGCTCGAGCTGCCAATGCTGCACAATCCAGTAGGATTTTCATCAAATCTTCTAGACTGTCATATGTAAAAGGTTATTTGACCCAGCTGAACAGTGCATATCAACACTACGGAGCCCCTGAAAATGTGAGTTACAATTAATCATCTTGTTATGGTCGATCTTAAGAAGTGAGAAAATTCTACGATCAGAGAAGATGCGAATGAAAATCCGAGGTGATAAGTTCCAATAATAGACCCTACAACTCATATCTCGTACTCCAACTGCACGTGCTACAGTCGCATTCTAAGTACCTAACTCCAAGCTCGTACACATTTGAACTCTGTAAGGCTAGCAATCGCATACCAAGTTCCTCTACTGAAGATGGCTCAGCTGGTTCCTTCCTCTCTGCAACTTCTGGATCTTCCTGTTCATCAAGGCCAGCTTTCTTCCAATCCTCCTTTGTCAGTCCTTCTCTCGTAAAGCTCTTTGCATGAAGGCTGGCCGCTGTTCTCACTATCTGCAAGAAGAAACACATTTTGATACGAATTCTCACGAGTGCTTAATTTGCAAAGTCAGACGAAAAACAGGATTGGCTCTTACCACACTTTCTTGTTCCTTCTTCTTCTACTAATACTGATTTCATTTTTTGAAAAGAAAAATTATTCCTCTAAATCCCTCTTCTCTCTGGTGTACTTGAGGTCATACAGATTTGAAGATCTCGCCACAAAACAAAACAAAACAAAACAAAAAAGATAAGTCAATTACTGAGAGCTATTGAAGTCAAGACAGTAAGAAAGAAAAAAGGTGAATAAGACGTACATATACATAATCTTTAATTGTCAGCTTCCTGGTCTTAGGTTTAGCCTTGAGGTGAGGAGGGTCAGGCAAAGACGAGGGGAAAGCGATCTCCTTCAAGTCGTGCTTGACATAGCGCTTAATATTCCGCCATGCCACGCCCCACTTCATCACTGTACAATCCCCCAATCCTCTGCCTTCAAAATTCCGCGATCGCCCTAGAAAACCATTCCACGCCGCCCCCAACGCGACACAATGGTTTCTAAGCTGCTTGAAAGCAAACTACGTCAGGGCATAGACGCGGGAGCTATGGCCAGAAACATGGAACGAGCAATAATTCACGCCCGTGAAAGAAACTCTTACAATCAATCTCTCCTGCTCTCTCTCTCTCTCTCTCTCTCTCACACACACACACCGTGATTGCGTACCATCAACAGTTGAGCCTATCATTCAAGCTCAAGAACCAACGACTGACTTAACTTGGCATTGCACGAACAATCTAAGACCTTCTCGATTAAGTTCTTTCACTCTCTCATACGCACCGTGAAAGCCTTCAAAATTCGTCCACACTCACTTGAAGCAACAAGAGGGAAGAATCCTGACGAGAACGATGACAGAAGCCATTGTCTCTCTAAGCCTCCCCCCCGCAACCCCTCTTGCGGTGTCGAATGTAGCGGCCTCCGACGCTGACGCTCCTTCGGCGTCTCCCTGCGGCTACATGCGTCCAAACTGGCGGCACTCGCCGCCGACGTTGGGCAGCTTTAATGAAAGAACCCAGGAAATTCGTATGGACAGAGAGTTAACCAAATAAATTCATTCATTCAAGTTGCAAGTATTATACCAAAAAATAAATAACGACATGGGTCAAAACACTATGGAAACGTGAAATGGTGGAAATCGTGTTTTCAATAAATTTCTACATTGTAATCATTCTGTGAATCCACAATATAAACTTTTTGAGCTCACAAATTAAGTTATTAAAATTTCTAATTGGGCTTAAAATTTCAAGAAATCTTGGAAAATAATTAAAATAATTTTAAATTCTTGTTTTTAATTTTTCTATTTTATATATATATATATATATATATATATATATATGTCCTATTAAATAATTATTTTTACTGAAGCATGGGATATTTTCTGATTTTTTTTCTTCATGTTTGAAATTGCCTACTTTAACATTAGAAGACATTACCAAATAATTTTGAAAAAGAAACACTAAATAAATCACGAAATATTAATATCTTTGGATCATACAACATCTGTTACATGAATTTACAATGCATTGTGCAGCTGTTTTTGTTTGCAATAAAATAAAATAGTTATTTGTTTACAAGATTACTAATCTTATTTTTGTAAATTGATACCAAATGCAAACAAGTGTTTTTAATGTTGGATCTAATATATTACCAGAAAATTGATACCATAATTTGAAAAATCAAGAAAAATACAAGAGTTTTAAAAGTATTCAATACATATGTATATATGTTTATATATATATATATATATATATATATGTGTGTGTGTGTGTGTGTGTGTGCACTTCACACAATTGCTAAAATAATAATGTCACAAGTAGTTTACTTAATAGAATAACTTCAGCACTCAAGTAGTTTTGATAAATTAAAAAATTAAATGAGTATAACTTTCAATAATTTAAATATTTTTGTGCAAAAATTTAAATAACTTCAATATAAAAATGGTTAAAATATCATAGTTTTTAAGTTTTAGATAATAAGAACTTTACTTCACAAAACATTTTATATAAATTTGTTATATCTTGTTATTGCTTTTATAAATGTTGTAACTGACAGATAGGTAGATATACTTACAGCATTACTAATAAATATAAATCAATCAAATATTATAGTGTTAATTTATTTTAGAATGATTTTTGGTTACTTTATTAATTATTAGTTTAATTTTCTTAGCTTACTATACACTAAATACATAAATTAATGAATACACGAAATTAATCAAGTTTAATTTAAGTTATACAGCTTAATTTAAAGAATTTCTTATTTATATTCCTAGGAATAAAAAAATTAAAAAACGCAACATTTTTAAACATTTTTGTAATATGAATATTTAACTAAGATTTTAAAACATATAATTTCTAAAAAGTATACATATATAGTTTTAACTTTTGCCAATCCTATCATAACCATCATTTTTTTTTTTGTTCTTTTTGATTTAATGTTTTGGTTATGCATGCTATGTTCCTATTTTATCGTTGGAAATTAGACTTGGTATAATTAGATAGATGAATTGATAATAATATATTATACTTAGAAGACATTAGATTAAAAAAAAAAAAAGTTTCTTAGGTTGATATTTTTTAATTAAACAGTGCTTTAATTGGTTTTTATTAGATTAAGATTGACACAATTGACCTTTTATTATAGTTAGAATGGTTGAGTAATTTTATGTAAAACAACAGTAACAAAACACTGCTTTTAGGTTGAGACATTAATACAATAAGAGACATTTCTCAAGCAGAAACTTCTTTATTTATTTATTTATTTTTAAACTATGATTTTGAACAACTATTTATTTATTTATTTTAAAAAGCTGAATTGATTCCATCACAATCTATAAAGATATAAATATCTTGATGTAATCAATTTTATAAAAGTAGTTAGTAGTACATGAAAGAAATTAGTACTAAGTGTTTATTTCTTTATTTGAACATTCCAAATTCTAAAGTTAAGAGAAGAAATTCATGCAATAATCACATATAGGAAGATATTCGCACAAAATATACTAACTAATAAGATAAAATGACATACACAAAAACATACTCAGTATTATGTATTTTTTTATAATGATGGGTGATTTATAGGTGTTTATTTATGACTTTTTCCTCCAAAACATTTTATAAAGCACCGGGTATCTACATTGGGTGGTCCCAGTTATTTTCCCTGCAGGGTATCGCCCAGAAGCTAGAGAAATCCGAGAAAGGGCATAACGGTTCTTATCCGGGTGTTATGATAATTGGACATTGTCTTAGGCCGAAGCCAAGCGCGCGGAATAAGGGACCGCGGTAACGATTCCAGCGGAGTTACAAGTGCAAGTGCAGCAGCGTCGTGAAGCCTTTAGGGTTTAGGGTTTAAGTCGGATTGGTTACTACTCGCTGAGCCGTGAGAGCTATGAGGAATTTGTGCATCTTAGATCCATCATCTCAATTTCCAGGGAGCTATAGTCAACTTCAAATCGCTCAGCCATTCGTAGCATATTCGGGCGCACAACTTTTGTTGTTCGTTGTCGGTCGTTTGTAGTTTATTTTCGAATGCCTGGAGTGTCTGTCAATTCGAAAACCATGTCGTCAGGGGGGAAGCGCAAGCGCAAACAGGTGCGATATCCTTGCTTTCACCTTTTTTTTTTTTTTTTTTTTTTTTTTTGTGTGTGCACAATTTTTCTAGATGGCCTTATCTTAGGGTATATATATATATATATATATATATTTATATTCTCCTTGTCTAAACCCTTGGCAAACATGTCGAGATATCTGACGATTTTTTAGCTATTACAGAAAGGAGTTCCTGGTGTTGCCGCATTACCGCCGGAAGTCAATGAAGAGGACTTGTACGTTTCCGATGAAGATTTGCAGTTTATTAAGAATCACGCGCTGTATGCTGGGTTCATGGCTAACTTGGACACAGCCACTATAAATAAGTGAGTCGTTTCCCTTGCTTACAAACGGCAGAAGTTTGCAGGAGCTTCTTTTGATTTGTTCGTTTGTTAATACATGTACTCAATTGCACTTTTACTCGAGATCAATGAAAACCATTGGTTCATTGATTGCTACTCCTTGTCGTAGGTAGAAGTTGTAGTGCAAATGCGTTTGGAAGTGGTATTCAAAATTACACGCTTGTGTATTGTATACAGAGAAACCTTGTTATTTTGATGATTCGCGTACTTGTTAGATGACAGTTGCATGCGATCTCGAAGATGCTCTCACGTTGTATTTTCGTAATGACGTACGGGGAATTGATGAATTGGACGAGTATTTATCTATAAAGGATGTCCAAATCAACCTCTAGATTGATTGGTTTTGCATCTTTCTAGAGCTGGCCTCTTTTGTTAATTTTAATCACTTGAAGTTCGGGGTTGGTTATTGATTTTTTTGCAAGCAATGTCTACCTTTTCTTCCTCAATCGCTCTTAAGTGTTGGAGTGTGTTCTTGCGTGACTGTAATTAGGCAGGCAATCGTTCGGATTAGTGACATCTGTGTTGTGAACAGAGCTTTTGAGGGGCCTAAAAAGCCACCGAAGAAGGCTGACAAACCGAGAGAAGACATTGAAAGCCGGTATGAGGAAAGGGCGGAACGCAATGCAGCAAGGCTTGATGAGAAGGAGGATGCTATGGACGTCGAAGAGATGGACGCATTGCCGGTGAAGTCGCTAACGGGCGAGCTTCGCTATCTCTCTGCACCCAAGAAAGCCTCTGGTATGTATGCCTCGTACGGTGCCTTCATTCTACATATCTAGTTTATGCTTAATTCATTAATTGATGGTATTGAGTTACTGATGTATGTATGCCGAAAATTAAATTTTGAGCCACTCAACTGAGATCTTCTTTGAAACTCTTTGTCGATTCTATTGGTCTGTAGATGGAAATGCTCTGCTGGAGGAGCGTAAACAAAAAGCAAATGGTACAATCAAAGAAAAACCAAGTGAGAGTCATGTAGATGCTCCTGCAAAAGAAGCACTTCCAGTAGAGAAGCAAGAGAAAATTAAACTTACTAAGCAAGAACGCAAGAAACTAAAGAAGGAAGAAAGAAAGAAGGAAAAAGATGCGGAAAAAGCAGAAAGAGCTGAGCGAGCGGACGCCAGCAAAGAGGAGGTTTGTTTTAGGCGTCATTGGTATTTATTGTTACATACTGTAAATGCATGGGATTGGGAACATTTTTTCTAAATGGTGGCAAGGGACCTCACATTGGGACATGTAGTAGCAGTGGTAATCGGACCTGTGTCTGATTGTCGCGAGATTTTGTCTTTAGCGTGATGTATCTTCACGTAAATTGATGACTGTCCTTACTTCACGTGTTATAGCCTGTGGAGGTAAATTACATATCGGTGCAACAAAGACGGATAGAACTCAAGTCGCACATGGCTGAGTTGGGCATGGGGCTGCTTGCAAATCCTGAAACCAATATAGGATCCTTGAAGGAACTTCAGGAAATGTGTGAAGATCGTGATGACAGAGTTGCCAGTTTGGCACTCCTATCTTCAATGGCTGTTTTCAAAGATATTCTACCTGGGTCAGTTAACTCTACTTCTTTCTGCGATTTGATTATGGAAGCGTTTGTATCAATGTAACTGAACAGAAATGTGGCATTTAGCCACTATTAGCTTCTCATGGGTTACTTTTGTAAATTTTCTGCATCGTAAGTGAATGACTGTGCCATTTCCTTAGCTTGATGGTTAAATGCTGCCCTATGTCTCTTTTTGCAGGTATCGCATAAGGTTGCCCACAGAGAAGGAATTGGAGGTGGTTGTGTCCAAGGATGTCCGCAAGTTACGAGATTTCGAAACTGCTCTTCTGAAGCATTACCAGGTGGTTTCTTTTTGCCGATTCTGTATTCCCTCGTATGTTGCTGCTGCTTCTTGTGGCTGGAATTTACGTCCATTGTTGATAATCTATGTTTAACTCCGTTTTGATATTGTTTTATCATGTGACACAGAAATACGTTCAAACTTTGATACGAGCAGCAAAGTCACCAGCACGGCGCATTACGTCTCTCAAGTGTATGTGCGCACTTCTAGAAGCCGCGCCCCATTTTAATTATCGTGACAGCATGCTTAAGGCTGTGGTTCCGCGCACGATGTCTTTCGATGACGATATCAGGTCTGTGATCCCATCATAATATTTGGAGCTACTTCCATGTTGAACCAACCGTAAATATTAGATGTTCTGACTCGAATCTCTATACAGTCGATTGGCTTGTGATGCTGTGAGGTCCCTGTTTAAAAACGAGGCCAAGCATGGAGGAGAAGCCACTGTGGAAGCTGTTCAGTTGATTGCTGAGCTTGTGAAATCGCGCCGCTATCGAGTACGCCCATGTGTTGTAGAGGTGTGTTGATCCCGGCATATGAACTTCAGTTAACATCTCCAAAAATATTGTTGTCTATGTCTCGACTTTCTTCATTCGACCTTGCAGTTAATTTGCATTTCAATACCTCCCAACTTTCTGATGTATTATTTCAGGTATTCATGGATCTATCTTTCGATGATAACATAGAAAAGTCAAGCACTACTACGAAGATGGCCGAGAAAGCCAATGTTAAGAAGTCGAAGCGCGAACAGAAAAAAGACAAAAAAGAAAAAAAACGAGAACTTGCCAAGCAGTTGAGAAAGGAGGTGAGCGTTGAGGAACCTGTCAATTCGTTGTTAGAATTTCCCATAGGAGAACCTGTTGGTTTGACTTTGAAGAGCAGATTGATGTCCATCTGTTCAGGGTTTGCCTGAATGTCGATTCGAGAGACATACAAGTTGTGAATGTCTCTGCTTCCAAGCATCGGTGAATTGATTCTTATTTAGACTTCATGCTAATTAGTATAATATATTTTTGGTTAAATTTTTATATCTTGCAGATTTAGCATTGCTGAAGTGGCAGTTTATTGTGTGTAGGTGAAAGATGATTTTAAAGAAGCGTCAAGTGCACCCGATGTTATACTGCGCAAGAAGCTCCAAACGCAGACCTTGGCTGCCATGTTTGAAACATATTTCGGCGTTCTAAAATCTAGCTTGGAGCCCCCTGATGATAAGTAAGCCTCGTAATATGGGCAGTCTTGTGTTTTTGCAGTGGACTAGCTTTTCTGGGCGCTTTCTCGTAATATAGATCACAACATTGAACTTTTACGACGGCTGTGCAGGATACTTGCTGCAGTTTCACGAGAGATTGATGAGGGTCACGAATCGCTTGGCTTGCGACCACTCCTGGGTCCTTCTCTCGATGGCCTTGGCAAATTCTCATATTTGATAAACGTTGATTTCATGGCTGATCTCCTGAGTACCCTTGGTGTAGCGGCAGCTGGAGGCAAGAATGCCGAGACAAGGCCTGCTGAGGATCTGCTTTCAGTTGGTGAACGGTTGCAGTGTTGTATGGTGGCATTCAAGATTGTTCGCAGCAACTTGGACGCTCTGACAATCGATTTGAGAGAGTTTTACGTTCAGCTTTATAATCTTCTCTTTGAATTCAACTCTGTTAGGTGAGTATGCCGACTTGTTATTTGCAATGATTCAAAATTACGAGAGCAATATGTATTTGGCTCGGAGAATAGTTCAATGTTCAAATATATTACTCTCTGAAATTTAGGCTCTGAAAGCATGCATTACTTTGATTGAAGAGCATGTTACTAACAGAAGGATCATATGTGCCTCGTGCTTTTCAGACAGGATATGAAGTACTCGAAGGTATTCGCTGAAGCCCTTCAAGTGATGCTTTGGGACAGTCGGCAACATGACATGCAACGTGCAGCTGGTTTTTTGAAGCGGCTTGCCACGCTTGCACTTCACCTTGCACCTGCTGAGGCTATGTCTGGTACGTAACGCTGCAGACTACTTCTTGGCTTTGATGCTAACATGTGCTTTTGAAGATTTATGCTGGATGAACCAACCCAAGATTGTCTCCTAGTGTGATTAATGTTTATAAACGACTATTAACATGATCGTATTTCAAAGCTAGCGCTGGGTTACAGTTTTCTAACTTCCCAGTTGTTGCTGTAAGGTTATATCAGGTCATCCAGTTAAGCAAAGTAGGCCTATGCCTATGTGCTGTTGCACCTGTTCGAATCTTTTAGTGTAACTAGGATAGTTCTTTGCGATGTAGTGTTGAGAATTAATCTTTTGGTTTTGCAGCGCTTGTCACCGTTCAATACTTACTTCAACGGTACAAGAAATGTCGAAACCTACTTGATAATGATGGAGGTGGCGGAGCTGTTGGCGGGAATTTGGCGGTAACTATCCTCAAGTGAACTTACTTATTGATCCATTAGTGAACTTTCACGTATTTAGCTTTACAAACAATAATTGTGTGTAATATGCTATGAATCACTTTTTTTAACGGTTGAATGTATCATTCCCATGAATCATCCTCAATAATGAACATAAAGTTGTTTTTGTTGCGACTTTTGATGTGATTCTAAATGAAAGAATAAACACTTGAAATTTGTCGTTATAGGCGTGAAGTTCAAAATGTTGCATTGACATAAAGCGGTGATTTTTGGAGGGTGGATGTTACGTTATTTGTTGATGAATACGTGGATTGTGACATGCAGAACTATGAACCAGATGGGGATGATCCAGACGTCAGTGGTGCTCTATCATCTGTGTTGTGGGATGTGACTCTTCTGCGGAAGCATACGCACCCTGGAGTGGCAAAGATTGCAACAGAGATTTCAAGTATGTCGGCGATGACGGATACTACCTCTATTGTGTCTTTGTCTCCATCAGATGTCATCGATATATATTCAACCAGGGAGGGTGGTTTCAGACCTCCAGTGCAGCCTCCTCCGAAGTTGGCAAAGAGGAAAGCATTCAAGAATGTAGGACCCATCTCAGTATCATCATTTGACGATCTAGCTATGCCTGGTGGACGTATCGATTTAGAGGAGGCTAAAATCAGCGTAATTTCTGAGCCGGAATCAGTGGAAATTCGTAAACGTCTAGCGAAAGATTTTCGAACTTTGAGAAACTTTAGGGAGAACGAACTGTTGAGAAAAGAGCATAGCAGAGTTACTGCTCGTATTGAGCTGCTTAATACATACTTAGCGAGGAAGGCAATCAAGTTGAAGAAGACGGATAAGGGGATCAAGGCAGAAACCACAAAGAGGAGTAACGCGAGGAAGACAAGTAAACCAAGTAAACTCGAGAAATCTCTGAAGCCAGTTCCTGTAATATCCAAGAAGTCTAAGACCAAGAAATAGTCCCGATGTCTATTTTTATTTTTATTTTAATATTAATGACCTCACCTTCGTAGAGATTTAAGCATAGTTGACATTCAGTGCAGCGCACCTTTTTTAGAATCTTACAAAATTCGCCGTAGTTCTTGATAATTTTTCTCATGAAAAGATTCATGTGATGCGGTACTCAACGCACTTGTGACCTTGTAACAGCAGGCTAAACGATTCAATAGGGCTGCTTGTGCAGCTTATTTTGCCTATCATGAGATTCACTTCTGCTTCAATGAACCTGAAGTGGTTTCTGTTTGCTGCCTGCTCAAACATACGAGATTTACTGCTCATATTCTTGCTAGAACAAATTGTAACATATTTCTAGGAGTAACAAATTCAGATCTAGCTAGTAATTTGGCAGAGATATCTACAACTATCTATTTTCTAGCATAATATTCCAACTTTGTCACTATATTACAATACCAATTTTTATAGAGGAGTATTAAACCAATCCATTTTAATTTTAAATTAATCCATCTTATTTTAATGGTGAGTTTAATCTTTGTGACTACTTTTTGGATTTGGAGGAAAAAAAAAAAAAAAAATTGTGAACTCAATACACAAAAATACTCAAATCTTTCTTTCTATCAATTGTTTGTTCAATACACACCAATATAATTTAGAGCTCTTTGTATATGCTAAAATTATAAAATACAAGTGTTATACTAAGTATTCAAACCTTGTTGGCTTGTTGGTTAGAGAATCAATTCTTTTGAGATTATTCACAATAGCTGGAAGGAGCTTTAGATCAATTTAATATTTTTTTATTTTTTTATTCCTTGAAATTAATAACTTATTTTGTCATTACTTGTTCATATAAAACATAAAGTTGTATCACATGTTGAATAAATTATATAAAAAAGTGATATAAGATCTTATATAAATTAAAAGATATATTAATAAATATATAGTTTTTTTAAAATTTAATATATGTATATAAAAAGCTTAATTATATCTACATCACATTATTTGTTGTTGCTTTGTTTGGTACAATGACCAAGTTTTATTGATTTTATAAATATTTCAATACAAATTCTTATAATTTCTAAGAAATGTATTTATTTTTACTTAAATTATATATATATATATATATATATATATTGAATTTTCTCATAAAAAGTTGATGGCAAGAAATTGTCACAAATATACATATGTATTCTAATAAATACCTATATAATTAAGTAGAAGTAAGTAAAAATATATAAAAATAGATTAATTTCATAATACTTCTAGAGAAACTTTCTAAAAGCTTTATAGATGCTGTTTTGACTTTACATGTGTTTGTAGTTGATTAGTAGGCTAGAAACTTGGTCAACAACTTAACCACGTATTAGTAGCTTGTAGAACAAGCTAACTATGTGGCATACATATAGAAAACTTGCCTTGCAAGTTATGTATCTTGCAAAGTCAACGTTTTGGAAGTCCTATAGGACATCGCTACATAGCTTTTAGTTAAGAATATATATGGATGTAAGAGTGAAGCTTTCTTTATTCTTGTCAAGACCTTTTTAGTCCTTAGTCTTATTTCAAGATATTCTAGTCTTCTTGTTTTTGATAATAGCCATTCTAGTTCAATATTATATCATCTTTGAGTGACTTTCTACTTCTTTTCAATGACACAAGAATTTATTGAGGATTTTCTTTCTTTGAGATTCATGTCCTCGACAATTTGATAAGAGTGCTTACTTACTGTTTTTGTCTTATTTTAGAAGTGAGTGGATTACTCCACTTCTATTGTTGTATTTTAAAGGTTACAAACTACCTACTTTTAAACAAACAATCTTGTTTTTTAACACTGATCTTTTCATAAAAGAGAGTGGATTATCACTCTTTGTAGAAATTTTTATTTGATATTAGACATTATGGATTATCTTCCTCTAATTTAACTTTTTAAATTTGTTTGAATTGTCTATAGAAGAAAAGATTATAGATGCTACTCTCAGAAGAATAGATTTGCAACTATTACAAATCTTCATGAGCTTGTCAACATTCTAAGAATAAAAATCTCATGTATTTCCAACATGAATCATAGAGGTACTATGTCTACACCTATGGAAGAAGTTCAAAGTCTAGAGCAACAAGTTGTGTAGTTGAAGGAAGCAAATAGATCGACCTCACAACTAAATCTAAGGAGTTTTACTTCTACAAGTATGACGGGGACAAGAATGAGCATGCTTGAGAATTTTGATGGAATAAGATCAAAATTTTGAGGATTTCTGCAACAAGTCAAGTTCTATCTAAGGTTGTATCTCTTCCAATATCTCAATGGATTTACTCAAGTCAAATTCAAAGGTGTACTTTTATCAAGAAGTGTTTTCTTTTGGTTTGCATGTTTAATGGAAAAGGATTTGTGAATCATTTATGATTTAAATTCATTCCTAGAAGTGTTTATGGCTACATTTAAAAAAAGTAATTGAAAAAGAATAGTGGAGACCAAACTCTTATCTTTACAGCAAGGATCATAGTCAGCCACTATATATGCTGCTGAATTCTAAAACCTTTCTTGCGACATGGATTAGAATAGTAAAGCCTTTATCAATCAATTTTGATAGAGATTGAAGGATAATGTCAAAGATTTGTCATTAACAATACCAAAGTCAAAATCTTTGGAACAATTTATTGCTTAAGCAATTGGATGTGACAATCAATTATTTGAAAGATGTCAAGAATAAAGACTTGGCTGGAGAGGAACAAATCAAATAATGACGAAAACTTCTAAATTTTCAATCACTTATTCATCAATGCCAGAACCAATGCAAATTGATACAATATGTTTTAAATCCCTCATAGAATAAGAAAAGACTTGACAACATTAAGAGGACTTATGCTTATATTGTAGAGAAGCTTAAGACACTACTCAACATTTTCCAAAGAAACAACGCAACCACAAAATAAGAAGCATGGTTGCCAAAGAAGACAATGTATCAGAAAACTAGTTTCTCTAACTATAATAAAGACCATGCGGCTCGAATCTTATGTTACTCATGGTGAAGGTCCTATTCTCTCCTCAAATCTCTCATCTTGTTTTACAATAGAAGTTTATTTAGGACCAAAAAATCACAAAGTCTTAGCTTTATTAGATTCAATAACTTCAACCTCTTTTATAGATAAAGATTTTGTCAAAAAATAAGAAATATTATTCATCAAAAAAACTAAACATATATATGTAAAAATCATAGATGGTCGTTCACTATCTTTTGGATATATTATAAATGAGACTGTTTCTTTAGATGTAGCAATTAAAGCCTATAATAGCATAGTAATATTTAATATAATAAGATCTCCATTCAATCAAGTTATTTTAGGATTATTTTAGTTAAAAAAGTATAATCTTCATATAGATTGGATTTCTTGTAACCTTAATTTTTATGATAATTTAACTCAAAATTCCATTAGTTAAGTAAAAATACATAAGTCTAGTATATCCAAATCTTTACTGGTAGGTGCAAGAGCTTTAATGCATGCCGCAAAAAAAGGACTTAGCTAAAAATTTCATACATTATTTTAAATCTTTAATTGGGGCTCCTATCTTATTTGTGAAGAAAAAAGATGGATCTCTATAAATGAGTGTGGACTATTGAGGACTCAACAAGATTACCATAAAAAATAGGTATCTTCTATTTTAGATTTTAGGACTTCTTGATCAATTGAATCAAGCAAAGATCTATAAAAAAATAGATCTACGAAGAGCATATAATTTTATATGCATTAAAAAAAAGATATATATAGAAAACTATGTTTTGAATCAAGTATGGGCATTTTGAATATAACGTCATGCCTTTTGGATTCACAAATGCTCCACTTGCTTTTAACATCTAATAAATAATATTTTTTGTGAATTTTTTGATGATTTTATCATCTGTTATATAGATGACATCTTAATCTATTTTAAGAATATAAAAGAATATGAAGTTCTTGTTCATCATGTGTTACAAAAATTTAGAGTTGTAAGATTATATGCCAAATTAAAAAAATATGTATTTTATAGTACTCAAGTTAACTTCCTAGGATACATGTCATAGACATAATCATGTAAGCTAGTAATTACATATACAAATAGGTAGAAGTAAGTAAAAATAAGTAAAAGTAAGTAAATTCTATAGTATTTAATATAGCAGCTTCTTAGAAGCTTCATAGACGCTGCTTTGACTTCATAGGTATCTTTAATTGACTTTTTGGATTAGAAACGTGGTTAACAAGTTGGTCATGTGACACACATGTTGTTAGCTTGAAGATCAAGCTAACTATGTGGCCTACACGTAGAAGAACTTGCTTTGTAAGTCAAGGCATGTGTCCTACAAAGTCAACACATATTGGAGGTCCTATAGAACGTCGCCACGTAGCCTCTTATTAGATAGTATATATAGAGACAAGAGTGAAGGCTTCTTCACTCTTGTCAACTCCTTTCTTACTTCTAGTCTAGTTTCAAGGGTCTCTAGTTTTCTTGTCTTTTGGCAATAACTATTCCAGTTTCTCTTTCAATATATATCCTTGTTTATATATATTTTGTTACCTCTCTTTGAGTGAAGGCTCATTTGTCTGAATTATTTTTTCATCGAGTTCTTGTCCTAGACAGATTGATAAGAGTACACCTACAATATTAGAGCTTTGTCTAATCTTGATTAAGAGTGGATTACCCCTTTTTCTTGATAAGATATAAGCATATTAGAAGTTGCGGATTACCCTCTTCTAAAGTGATATTGTCCTTAGTATTTTCTTTATTTTCAAGTCCTCTCTTCTATTTGTCTTGAGCGATATTAGACATCTTCTCTCTTCTAAGTGTTATCATAGCAGAACTTGTTGAAATGAAGAATGCAATGGCACAAATGCAAGAGCAATTGAGGGAGTTAATGCTTGCGATGCATCAACTCAATTTACCACGACAAGGAGCAACAAGATTGGCAGAAAGTGAAGATATAGAAATGGTTGGAGCTGCTTCAACATCTGCACCAAACTATGTCCTTTCTCCTATGATAGAATGCCCTTCACATGTTAGAGAATCAAGAATTGTCCTACCCGAGAAGTTTGATGGTACCAGATCCAAGTTTCGAGGAATTATGAATCAAGTGCAACTTGTGACTGAACTTCAACTCCAAAGTTATCCAACTCCAGGATAGCAAGTTAGATTCATTAGTACGCTTCTTTTAAGTTCAGCACTATCGTGGTTTTCATCTTTTCTTGAATGACGAGATCCAATATTGGATAATCTA